AGTTTTATTCCTTCGTTCCTTGAACTCATGTGTCTGCTCCCAGACACTGTTAACCCTGACACCGTTCAGCTGTTGGGAGGCTTGCTTTATGTGAAAGATGCTTGCCCATTCACCATTCAAATTAAAATAAAGAAGTTGCTTCTTTGAGAAATAATCACAAGCCCATTCTATCACACTTTCAGTGGCTTTATTATGGTGTGTGTGTATGTGTGTGTGTGAGAGAGAGAGAGGGGGGGGGATTAAATCTAGATGAGTGGGTCCAGTTGTATGGATGTTCCCAACTTAAATCAGAAATTAGATTTTTGCAGATATAGACATTTAGAGAGTCAAAGCATTATACTTGGACCATGGGGTCTGAATCTGCATCTAGGCCATGAAGTTCACGGGGTGACCCTGGGTCAGTGTCTCACTCTACCCTAATTCAAGGAATTGAGATGTATGGATAAAATGGGGTAACTCCTCCCATTTTATCCTGAGAGAGTGTGGGATATGAATGTAAAGAAGAAATAGAACCCAATGACACTGCTTCCCAAATCACTTGGATTGTATTTATTGCATAGATTAAGTTATATAGTCTTTAGGTTGGATGCAGAGTAGAACTCTAGTAACTGGACACCAGGGCTGGCCCAGCCATGAGGCAAGGTGAGTCGACCACCTCAGGCAGCAGGATCCACAGGGGCAGGTGGAAGTGACTTTCCTGCCCCTAAAAAACCATCCCTGAGGTTTGGATGATCCTGCTGAATGGGGTTGTCTGTTGTGTGGGTGTGTGCTGAAGATGAAGTAGAACTTCAAAACTGGGCCAAGGAATCTTCAGTGAGCAGCTGTTTATCTGGATCCAATTCTTATAATTAAAACGTACAAGGTTTGATAATCAAATGGAACATTTATTAAACACTTTTAGTGTAGTTGTTTGTCAGCAATAGTGTGGTAGCCATTTGTGGTCGCTGTGATCAGGATGCAAAAGGTAGAAGAAATGGAGTTGTCTCCATAATTTCGACCTGATACTAAAGAGACAACCCATTGTTGTTGTACTCTACATATTAATATTTAAACTGAAATGCTTTCTCTCTCCAACAGTGCAAGCTGATGCGTTGGAGACTTCAAATAATTGCCAACTATGTGGCCAGTTCTCTTTTTGTTCACACATCTTCACTGAAGCATGGTGATGAAGGGCAAATGTAGCAAGTTCTAATTCAGAGGGCTTTTAAGCATCTTACCCACAGAGGTTATGAAGTGCTAATTTAGTGATCCATAAAGAATTAACCAAAGTAGTTTCCAAACATCTGTGTTGTAGCTAAGTGGTATGAGTAGTTGATTTTTCCATTTCTTCTGAATACCTTTGCATCTCACTATTTTAAATGTGGAAAAACAGTAGCCAATGTTTTCTAAAATTAATAACACTTTTATGCCCAAGATTCCAGGAAAGTGTTTAGCATCCTCTCTTCATGTATAGTGTACATCAATCCCTGAAGTGCTCAGACATGACCATTAAAAATAAATACCTCTAAAGCATAGGACTACAGTTTTGTTTAATGTTTTGAATCTACTATATCCACAACTCAAGTTATTGTATTGCATATTCATTATAGGAACAGGTGGGGACTTAATTTTGTTTGTCTTCACTCCAGTTTCCATTCCTTAGGAATCAAGTGGGATATTGACTACTTATGACCAAGGCAGTAAGCGATCCAAAGGAATCTAGGCTTTTATTTTCTTGGATCTCATAAGCTTTCTTAGAACCCAGTTAATCCAGTAATTTGTGGAGAGGGGGGACATTTGCAGTTCCGTTGGCTGATGACCAATCAGAGCAGCTATAGTTAGCCACAGATGTTTTGTAGTGTGGACGGAAGACACTGGATTGGATAAAAAGAATTGGGTAGAATTACATCACTAATTAGCAGTGTTCTACAGACTCGTGTGTATTACTAGCAACAAAATCTCTGCAGAATTGTGACATGGTGTATGATCCAGGTTGTAGCACATATGTGATGCATTGAGACATGGGAATTTGTTTGTTTATTTAATTCAAGATATTTGTTACTCACCCATCATTGTACACATACAATCCCATTGCTTGAAGCAGTTGTGGTGGGGAGATGAAGGGGGCAAAAGTTTTTTGATATGTTCCTGTTGCAAAGCAAGCCCTAGCAGCTAGGGTGAATGCAGGTATTCATTGGAAAGGTCTGCAGTGAGGGAATTCCATGTGCCCCAACCATAGTGGTTCTTTTGCAGTCTAGTAACTTATTATGCCTTGGCTGTTAGTGTTCGCTTTGTAAATGCATGATCTGGCAACCTAAATGAAAGGCTTGTAAATGCATGAGGCATTTTTGGATTACAGTTCACTTTTCTTGTGTAACAAGCTTCCACTTTCCTTTTTTGATAGGGTATGTTTGGGTCCAACCCACTGTCTTTCTTTCTTTCTTTCTTTCTTTCTTTCTTTCTTTCTATCTATCTATCAATAAATCAATCAATCCATAACCTCATAGTAGTTTTGTAGCTAGCTAAAGGAAGTAGTGGTGGGCTGCTTGGTCCTGAATTCTTAGTCCTTCTAACTGCTGTTATCTTTATATGATATAAACTTACCTGCTCCTTTTCTTCAGAACCCAAGTGAACCTCCAGGTGCATTCTCTATTTGGATCCAAACCTTTGAAAACTGCCTGTTTTCAGTATTTGATCAAGAGATACCTGAAGCAAGGAAATACACATTGCTTATTCACTGCCCTTCCCCTTGAAATGATAAATATGAAACTGTACACGTCTTTAAATAACCTTTTTGTGCCAAAAATTAACATGGTATCTAATTGCTACAAATCATGCTAATGTGTGAACACGAGACTCAATAAAACTTGGAAGTATCAGGCCTTCCACAGGCCCCAAACAATTAAAGTGTATAGCACTAAAAAACAAGTTTGAGCGGGGCGATTAAAAAATGTCACAGAGGCCAGTTAGCCAGATTGTAATGATCTTGATCCAAATTTGCAGTTATCTTTGGATAAGTTTGATTAGACAATGTAAATGTCTATCTTAGCATTGGGCTTTTAGTAATGAACACTGACAGAGCCATGCTACCCTTCCCCATTTGAAACTTTGCTATAATGAAACTATTTTGAAATGTGTTTTAAAGAGATTTGAGAGCATATCTATGAAATGAATTAATTAAGTCTTTACTAATGACTTGCTCAGAGTGAACAAATTTTTATTGTTGTTGAAAACATTGAAATGTGGCTGGATCAGGTGTTACATAAAGTGCTTTCACCTGAATTTGGACAATGTCCATATGTCCACACTACAGATATTTGTACCACACCCTGCTCTATTCAGGAGGGCTCCTGAGAGGCTGCACATCTTCCAGTGAGAAAGAGTCTGCTAGCTCACTCTCTTCCCTTTCTTCTTCTTGCTGTTCACCTCCCAGTTCTTCCCAACTATTGTCCTCCAAACTGTGCCCCTCAGCAAACCATTGTTCCAAATCAACACTACTCCACTGCTCCTGTGGAGTTTCAGGATCCTGGCCATGAGCAGGGGGAGGGGTAGGCTCCCACCATTCCTCATCAGAGTTGTACTCCTCAGCCTGGTCTCTGACATTTGAGGAGAGGTTGGGATGAGAAAGGTATTTGGATCTAATGCTTGATATGTTTTACTTAAATTGTTTTTTCATGGTTAAGAAAAAGCAGTTATAGCATTTTTAAAAATTCAATGAAAGTATGTTACAGCTTACACACATTTTCTGAATAATTGCCAGATATTTGTGAATTGTTAAAGTCTGATTTTCTATGTATAAAAACACCTGGTTTTTTAGGGTGAGCATATTCACAGTGCATAGGTCCATGTATTATGTTTGTTGTTGTGGACTTTCTGCTGGAGCCAAGGATTAGTAAAATTGCCACAGGGTGCTAGGATCAAGGAAGTGGCAACTTATAACTCCCCAGGATCATTTCTGGGGCCATATATGTGATCATTCATTTTTATTTTATAGTCTCTGATTATTTGAGCACAATAACTTCTGAAATAAAAAATGTGTGACTTCACCAACCAAACACAAGTATTTACTTTCCGTTGACTTTTTTTTCTGATCCGCTTGGTAATGAAGCGTTTCTAGCCCTGGGATGAGGAGGTAGAGTGAGGTGAAATGGTTGTAATGTGAGTCACACACACCCTTCACTTCTAATATGAAGAAACCTCATGCTGAATGCCTTGGAGCTGTAGTGCAGGTTCTGAAGGCTGAATTTCTTCTTTAGGCAACTGTGTTCTTATATTGAGTTCAGAGTAAACTTAGCTTCACCAAGTAAATTTCGCTTATTGTAAAGTACACTTTTCACTCCAGAGCGTGCATTGTTTAATTTCCTTTCCAATCTTTGCCTTTTATAATTAACGTGTTACCCACTCAGATTCAAAATAATGTTGATCTGGTCACCACAAAATATTTCTCTGTGTTCACCATGGTAGAGCAAAGACAACTGATAAAAATTAAGCGATGCTTTATTTTTAAGTATGAAAGGGTTGCATGGTAAGCTATTAGTACAACATTCTTTTACTTTTTCTGTGGCTTGATATACAAGGAGGACAAGTGTCCAGTCTGCAATTGTTCTGATTTGTTTGACTGAGAATTTATCTGAATTCGTGCTTGGGATTCACTACCTTAATTCTCGCCACATTTCATTCCATTGAGTGTGCTGACACATTCTCTTTCATTGAAGCTTTCCTGGAACAGCATGTTCCAACCCTTTCCCTGCTCCATGGAATTTCATGCCATTCCTAAAGCAAATACCGAAAGATCACTTTACGGTGGGTTCAGCCTTCAGCTCTGTGGAGGTGGGGAAGTGACGGCAAAATCTTATGGAGATGTCAGAGGGGGGCTGAAAGATAGGCAGGCTCAGTGTGGTTGAGATGCCCCTGGTATCATTTACAGTTGTTAAAACGGTAGTAGATTGCTAATTTTAACACCTTGACCTCTCTCTTTCCTTTTCTTTCCTCTCCCCTTCCCTTCCCTTCTTTCCCCTAAGGCATGTATAGATGAGAACCTGGACATGGTAAAGTTTCTGATAGAATACGGAGCCAATGTAAATCAGCAAGATAATGAGGGCTGGACCCCACTTCATGCGGTTGCATCTTGTGGCTATCTGAACATAGCAGAGTGAGTGAGTTTCAGTGTGACCTGGATACTGGAAATATTAAATGACTTATCTCCTTTTCAGAGAAGTGAGTAGGGTGGGGGAATGTATGAATGGTTGATATATCTTCCTGGTTATGTATCCTTCAGGATAGGCACATGGCAAACCCAGAAGTATTTTTCCAGGTTTTGCGCACGTGCATGCGCAGAAGCGCTCTACTGTGCCGCACACATGCGCAGAACAGGCACCTCCAGTTGTGAAAACCTTGGGATCCGACCGGAGCTCCGGAATGGATCCCATCCGCAACCGGAGGTACCACTGTACTAATTTAAAATGACAGATCCAATCATGTGTCTAAGCAAACTATAACCACCGTAGCTCAAAAAGGATTCATATTTCCTTTGGATATATAAACCACATGAAATGTTAGCTAGTGCCACAAAACTAATAGTTTATTAGATAATAATCTGGCTCACACTGAAGCAAGAGGAGGAATTCTGAACAAGAATGTAGGATAAATAGCGGAATTGTAGGATTATCAGGCCAGCTCTATGGATAACGATCTATTTCTGTACAAAAAGTCTATACAGTCATACCTCGGGTTGAAGTAGCTTCGGGTTGAGCGTTCAGGTTACGCTCCACAGCGACCCGGAAGTAATGGAACGTGTTACTTCTGGGTTTCGCCACTCGCGCATGCGCAGATGCTCAAAATGACGTCACGCGCATGCGCAGAAGCAGCGAATTGCGACCCGTGCACATGCAGACGCGGGTTGTGTTCACTTCAGGATGTGAACGGGGCTCCGGAACGGATCCCGTTCGCATCCAGAGGTACCACTGTAAAAGCCAGACATGCATACTGAGGGGGAAAAGTCCTTTTAAAAGAAACTTAAGCAAAAACAGATCAAGAATTTTTTTTTTAAAAAAATGAATTATCTGGTTGTTTCCAAAATTTGAAAGTTTCATAAAGAATTGTATCTTAATTGGTTAAGCAAATTAACAGTAATAGCTATTTGCATGGCTGGTCTTGTGATAAGGGAGATCACTATCACTAGCTGCAAAAAAATCTGAATTCAGTGTTTTGCTATTTACTGGCAAAGTATAAAAACAAAGCCAGATATTGACCTCGTGCTGTGAAGTCCAGTCTCAATCTGGCTCTCATTCATGTAGGTATCTGATAAGTCATGGGGCCAACGTAGCTGCTGTGAACAGTGAAGGTGAAGTCCCATGTGACCTTGCAGAGGAAGCAGCCATGAAGGATCTGCTCTTGGAACAAGTAAAGAAACAAGGTAAGGAAATTGTATGTCTTACTAACCACTCTTCAGTCTTGTGGGGTTTTAATAAGAAAAGCATATATACTTTGGTTATAAACGGGGCCTGGAATTTCACTTTAGTAAGTAAAACATTAAGGAACAGTGACACCACGCAAAAGTACATTTCTAAAGTAAAGCATTTTGTTTGTTCTCTTAAGTTAGGCTGTACACAAAGGAAAATAAATATTTTGAAAATGTGAATCATCCATCCCCTCTGTATGTTGGTGGCTTAAACCCAAGGTTTAATTCAGACTGCTGTTGCTTTTGTCTTGGGTTTTTGTTTGTGCTAAATGTAAAAACCCATTTTATTGTTTCTGCTGGCAATTGCCAAAGGCCCCAACATCAGAGTTGTCATTTTTGCAGAGTGTGTGCATTATCGATGTGTTGATCCTTGTTTGAAACAAGCCTAAGGTATGCTTTGTATCGAGACAATGTTGCTTTCCTTTTCTTGGAGTATTTACAAAGCTTAAAGTTGTCTTACTGTCATCACCCTCCCTCCCTTCCCACACTAGTTATTTTTGGCGCTTGCAACTATACCAGCTTAGTTATTCTATGCAGCTCAGTCTTTCTGTGCAGGCATTCTAAAATGCTACCCTATGAGGAGATGTGGACTTTCCTGATTGACATGTGTAGAAGGATTGATGTGCTGCTTCAGTTTTTCTTTGTAACAGCAAGGTTAACATTGCACAAACAGCTGGTCCATAGCACAGTACCTAGGTAATTTTATTTATTTGATTTGACAGTTTGGTGATAGCCCATTTAACATTAGAGAAATGTGGGAGATTGCCTGGAGGGTGCTGCTGTGGAAAGTGCAATCCTTTCTGAATATGTTAGCATGTTCCCTTTGAAATGAAACTGTTTCAATTCTACTTCCTTTTAGCAAAGCTTAGTAACTGTTTTTATTGTTGGAGTTCACATATTAATCAAGATTTAACTTCAAAGTACTTGTGCTGTTCAGCTACACTGAGTGTACTTCCAGTTATGGAAAGTTACAAAGAACTTTAATTCTATGTAACTTTTTTTTCATAATCCTAAATGACTTGAAAAAAATTTGATGTGCAAAAATACATGGTTGAGATTTTATTCAACTCTATTCTCAGCAGCTTTAATGTTTTTGTGGTGTTCCTTCAAGTTTTAGATAAAATGAGCCATATTAATTGTGCAATCTTAGTTTTAAATATACTGTCCCCTTCAACCCTTTGTGGAATTAAATTAATTGGCAGTACATTAAGGACGACAAAATTATGAACTTGTTATTAAACTTGTATCCTCTCCTCTGTATTATTTATGTTCTACTTCAGGCTTTTTACACCTGTTGTCTGTTTCTCCAGGATTGGATCTTGATCAGGCAAGAAAAGCAGAAGAGCAACAAATGCTGCAGGATGCACGGCAATGGCTGAACAGGAGGAAAATTGAAGATAGGAAGCAGCCCCGAACTGGTGCTACAGCTCTTCACGTAGCTTCAGCTAAAGGCTACTCTGAGGTGATGAGGTACTGATCTGTTTCCATTGTTAGCTGTAATAAACCATGGCCTAATGGTACTCTTGTAAAAAATGACTCTGTGAAGAGAGATTTCTACAGGTTTCTGGTACTGGAATATGAGACTATTGGATTGGATTGGATTATGGTACTATTTATTCCAATAGTACTAGATGTGTTTTAATACGCAGTGATTTAATGCATCTGCCCTTTCTTCTTCTGTTTGGGATTTTCAGGGATTAAAGTTCAGTGGAAGTGGGCTTTCAACTTTTATCTTAAACCTAAGTGTAAAATTACTGCGTATTCTCTTGCTAGCTCTTACCACCACCAGCTAAGGATGAAGTCCCAGCTGCAACATATTAGTTGTAGAGCTAGCTGTTATTTGTGAACCCCCTTAACCTGAAAGAGGCTGTTGGTACACACTAAGAATTCACTGGTTGCTAAGGTTTCTCCAAAGAAAATAGGAATAATAGTACTTTTTGTATGATGGACCTTTGATTAGTCTTGAGCCCTTTCAAATACCTGATTTCTCCATCCTCTGGAGCTAGCCTTGTAAGGATGGGGCATATGCTGTATTTCAGTTGTTTGTTTCTATACTTGTTCACTTGTTTGTAAATGAAGGTCTCCAGGATTTTCTGATAGTTGGCTTTGGTGGGATTTATTTTGTTATAATTCATTGTCTGCAGCTTTTATAAGATATACACAAACTAACAGCATGGCTGTGAAAGTGTAAGGTTTCGTAGGGTTTTTTACAGCTGGCTAATGGCTAGGATAGGTTTTTCAAGGATAGCTATTGCAGGTTACGGCTGTAATTGTAACGTAGAGGCTTAGCTGCTAGATCAGTATTGTCTTGATCTGTGTAAGTATGAAATGTATTCATATTATCAACTCAAGGAAAAAGTACCAGTTAACTTGATTTTAGTTGACTGATAGATTTAAATGGTAATATTTACCTGCTTTGTGTTACTTTTCCAAGGCAGATCTTCAGTTTGCTGACCCAGAGCAGCAGTGTAGAAAAGCTTTATTGAACATTACATTCCTGTGCTTACTTAAGTGTTTAGTTTCTTGGTAAGGAGAACATTTGCTAGCCAACACTTTTTAGTTTGTGTTGGTATGCTTGCTTTTTTTGTTGAGGTAGCTTCTGGTAAACATTTTTACAAATGTTAGTTCTGTCAGTTTACTTACACAGCACCAGATTTTAGCTGCAGTGTTTGGATGGTATCATGGGCCTTTGCAGGTTTTCTGCACCTGGTTTCACCAGGTTTTTAGTGACGTTAATACTAAGAAATATCAGAATTCTTGGAATCTTTTCTGATGTGCTCCTTATTAAGTGATTGCACTGTGCCAATTGAAGGTGTCTGTTTTAAAAGTCAATCTCTAAATATTTAGAAATTATTTTAAACAATAGTTTAGATCCAGACTCAGCTGAACTTAGATCCCATTGAAATAAATGTGACAAGTTGGTTGCGACTTGACACCAATGAGACTTAGGTTTTTGTAGCTTGCAGTGCAATCCTATACCTGTCTGCTTGGAGGTAAGTCCTATTGAGTTCAGTAAAACTTACTCCCAGGTAAGTTTGTATAGGATTACAGCCTAAGTCTGGACCTAGCCTAAAGAGGTGAAAGCAAAGTGGGAGCAACAAGCACATATCTGCTGCATAATTTTTGACAATTCTTTTGAATACTTCCTTCTTCATTGTTTTCCTGCTTTGAAATCTGTCCAGCGCATCCTCTGAAAGTTCATTTATTTTCTGAGCTGTGCATTGCAGGAGTGATCAACAGTGGGATTTTTAAAAATGTAACCATAGTAACATGCAGATATAAAAGACACTGAAATGACAGCCGCCTAGTTGGATGGCAGTAGGGAAACAACCTTCACTGCCATTCACAACACAGCCTTATATTCACTTGTCTAGCCCTTCTCTCCTGCCAGGAATGTTGTGTAGGATTAACACCCCCCTCATATTCCAATATATGAAAAACATTGTGGAGTAAAATAAATGGGTGTCATTGTTTCACACTAACAGCGGTTCATCAGAGAGGAAGTGAGGAGGAATTTGGAAAAGTAAACAACATGCAGGTAATTTTCCAGTTGTTATGCTAAGAAGGAATTCATTGTTGAAGGGGTGAAAGTTCAGTGGCAAAATAGATACAGAATATCTCCTGTTTAATATGGAATCTTCAGAAGAATCTCAGTTAGGAAGGTTAGGAAATACTTCTGCCTGAGACACTACTGCACTGTAGTTTAAGAGTACCATAGTTTCTCAAACTCCATTCACGTAGTCTATAAAAAGGTTGCAGAACAGTTAGGAATATTGGCTTTGCACTTTATTTATTTATTGGACAACACAAAAACAGGTACATCATCAAAGCCAACACTATGGTTATTAATAAAATGAGTTATGTAAGTGGTTAGATTTATACAACAACAACAACAACAACAACAACAACAACAACAAAAGTTATGTGTCCCACCAAGGCCCCTGGGAGTTTTAAAAGCTAGATGGGCCTATAGTATAAAACTATATTGTATATTGCAGGCATAGGCAAACTTGGCCCTCCAGGTGTTTTGGGACTACAACTCCCATCAGCCCTGACCACTGGTTCTGTTAGCTAGGGATGATGGGGGTTATAGTCCCAAAACATCTGGATGGCCGAGTTTGCCTATGCCTGGTATATTGGGTAATGGCGCATTTGCCCATACTGGAGGATGCTGTTCCTGAAACTTCTTCCTTTTCTTTCCAGGTTTGCTTCCACCCATCATTGGAACACTTTGAGCTGTCTGCTTTACCACACTTGTCTTTCTCACAGAGTATAAACCTATTTCATAAAGCCCACTGCACGTTCTTAAGCTGCATGACTGAACTGCTGCCATTCTTGCTCACTTGTTTTTCTTAGGCTCTTGATCCAAGCTGGGTATGATGTGAATGTCCAGGACAATGATGGCTGGACTCCACTCCATGCTGCTGCACATTGGGGAGTAAAGGAAGCTTGCTCTATCTTGGCTGAAGCACTGTGTGACATGGACATCAGGAACAAGCTGGTTAGTGAGCTGTAGACTAGTAAATTAATGCAAGAGCCCCCAGTAGCAAGATGTTCCTTGACAAGCCAAACATGCACTTAAATTGCACTTATATAATTATTGCCTGTTACTTGGCTTTAGTCAATTGAGTAGGTTGTATTATGCACATATTTTATTCTCCCTGTGAGCGGAAATGTATTTTGAAAGGTGTTGTTGAAAATACATTTTTGGTGTGTGTGTGCTTTGACTACTGTGTCTATTTCTATTTTCAATGTGATAGACCATTTGAAATCTTTCGGGCCAAAAGTCCAAATGGCTACTTTCTACCTTGTGTAATGTCTGTGCGTATGATTGGACTCTTATCTATTCTTTTTAGCTAAAACTGATGGAGAAAGGCTTTCCCACACTGCATCATATTTTGGCAGTGTGCTAATTGTAGATGTGTCAATTGACATCTGAGCTAGAGCAAATGGGTACTTCCTGAAAATTTATAGACTAATATATATATACACACACACACACACACACACACGCTCGCAAACACCCAAAAGTGTATTGCCACCCTGCAGCAACTTAGAAAATTACGATTTTAAGCAGACTTCCTCAGCCTTGCCCCTCCGTCATCCCTGACCACTGGTCCTGCTAGCTAGAGATCATGGGAGTTGTAGGCAAAAAACATCTGGAGGGCCGAGGTTGAGGAAGCCTGATTTTAGGTTTCTGTCAAACTTAATCAGAACTGTGATGTCTTGCCTTCTTGCTGTGGCTGCTGCCACCACTGCTATACTTTCCCTTGCCTACATTTACAGTGTCTTCTAGGAGTTAAAAGAGGAGGTAGAGTAGGAAAAAGAACGAAGTCCCTTCACAGACCCATGGGATAGTAGACTGGGTTCTGCACTTACTCTACAGTCCTTAGAGAGGGGTAAAAAAAAGTTAGGCTTCGAGAATGAGACCAGTTACAAAGTGCTTTGGGGTATTTTGGTGGTGTTGTCAGTGCTGATAAAGAAGGGAACAGTAGGAGGAAACCTTAGTTTATTTAACTGACCTTGGTACTGATTTTTAACATGCAACAGGGGATGGGGTTACAGAGTGGGAATGATAGTGTGCCCCCCCCCACCGAAGGAGAGAAGTATAAGTGTAAAGTTTTGGAAGGCTGAAAATATACTTCTGCATTAGGGACCATGGCATTGTTTCCCCCAGCTACATGTAAGCTGAAATTGTTTCTATGGTGAGTTGGTGTTTTTTTAAGGGCTTCCATTAAAACCTCACTCCCAGTCTCGGATGTTCCTGGGGATTTGCCAGTCTTTTGAAGAGTTTTAGTTTGCTGCCTGGAGTGAGGATGGAGACTGACAGCATGAGATGATAAACCAGTTAGTGTGTATGGGATAATGTGGTAAACAAGAAAACCCTTGGTGAAATCAGGCCAGACAAGTGGTACCTGCCATGAGCTTTGTAGAAATGTGCAGGGCTTTGTGCCAATAGTAGTTCTTGTCTTTGCTTTTAGTGAATGGTACATGAAACATCATTTATCATATCATTTTCAAATAAGGTCCTATGCCTCACAAGTCATATATTTCCATGCCTGATGAAATAAGGCATCTGAATTAACGCTTGCCCTAATCATTTCTGCAGCATTAAAACTGTTGGTGGAGGTGGAAAGAGGTAGAAGCAGTAGTAATATTTAGAGGCACCTTTAGCTTGTATGGAACATATGGCCTTGATGTTGTTCCTTAAAAATATTCAAGGGTCGTTTATTGGTTTACTACTGTATAATGTAAGAAAGCAGGTGGTCACTGTCATCATTATAAGTTTCTGTTTTGGGGAATGTTTATGGAGCAAGGCTCAAATTTGCTTTAACTGCTAAGTTTCTTGGATCTTCATTAGTCTGCATTATGACTTGGATGTTGCTCTAAGACTGTGATTATGATTTGGCTGACAAACTCACATAGAGTTTGGTAGAAAAGCTGCTTGAAGAAGGGCAGATTGTACCTCGTCCTCCTCTGATGAAGCATTAATAACCCACCTAGTCAGTCCCCTTCAGTGAGCTCTAAGAAGACAAGATGGGCCAATGGTCAGTTGCACTTCTTCAAGTACTTCTTCAAGCAGGGGACATCCTTTTGCTAGCTTCACAATCCTCAGAAGTTCAGGGTGGGAGAGGGCATTCTCTGTGGCAGCTGCTTAGCTGTGGAATTTCTTCCCCATTGAGGTGCACCTTGCTTAGTCATCCCCACCAATCTTTTTTATTGAGCTTTCCATTGCAAATTTAAATTCAAACATTAAACATCAACATCATAATTTAGGATTCCTTGACTCCTTTGACTCCGCTTTGCCTTTCCATGGTTACTATTTTCAATCTTTTTCAACTGCTTCACTTATTTTCTCTATTTTTCTTAAATCATCCATTTTTACCTTAATTTTTAGTACATTGCAAGCATTACTCGAATCCTGCCAAAGTTTTTAGTTACCTTCATTGCTTAGTTTCTGCCGTAAATTGAAGGCACTTTTTTTTTACCCCAGCTTTTGATACATAAGATACATATATTGGGCTCACCTTATTCTCTTGACCGTAATTTATTTTAGTATTGTATTTTTAAATGGTTGTAACCTGCTCTGGGACTTCATAGTGAAAGGGGGTAAGAACTCTAATTTATTCAGTTACCACCAACAACTCTATTATTATTATGTCCCATTGATCCTGTTGCCTTTGCTATAATGTTTGATAGAGATGCTCATAAAATCCTGCCCATAACTGAAAGACTAGGAGATAACTACAAGATCATGCATTCCCTCCCCCAGTCCCTTTACTCTCAAGGACAAGCTTTCCTCTGACTGCCCCCTGTCCCAAAACATACTACATGGTTCAGGATTCTGTATGCACCAATTCTAACCATGGTTAATACTAACCAGGGTTTTAAAATGTGTTTGCAAACCCTTGTTATGAAGGATTTTAGCTAGTGGTTGTCTGGAAGTGGTAGTATTGAAAATGTTATATCTGTACTGGCTCAGCCTAACCCAACTTTTTTTGGACTGATATCAAAAGCTACAAGTGTAAGAATAGTACTCTAATTTTATTGCAAGATATTAACTGATATTTTTGATAAATTCCATCATTTATATCCTGTTCCATGCCTCTGGCTGGTCTATCCTACGATAATCAATTTGTATAACAAAATGCATGCTTAACTTGGGAGCTAATATATAATTAAAAGATATGGCCAGTCCTTTCCCAAGGAAAAAGTAGGTAAATTCTAAAGTTGCTTTCAAAGCCTTGCCAATTACTGGAATAAGAAATGTACATTATAAACTTTGCTTAATAAACATAAAGAATCTCCTTTCCAAACTAATGAAATGCCATCCTAAATTGCCTTTGTTTGCTAATTGCACATGCCATCAGGGTCAGACACCATTTGATGTTGCCGATGAAGGATTGGTTGAACATTTAGAGATGCTCCAGAAGAAACAGAATATGGTGAGTTTCTGGCTATTCTGTTTAACTAGTACAGTATTCATGGACTTGTATGTCAATAACCTGAGAATTGCTTGTGAGATGTTAAATTGAAATGGGTCAGAGTTAAAAGTACCAAGATGATGCAAATACAGTGGTACCTCGGTTTACGAATTTAATCCATTCTTAAACCAAGGTGCGCTTTCCCTAATGAGGCCTCCCGCCACCAGTGCCCTGCCACTTTTCGGATTCTGTTCTTAGACCGAGGTAAAATTCACAAACCGGGACACTACTTCCGGTTTTGCGGAGTTCATAAACCGAATAGTTCTTAAACAGAGTTGTTCTTAAACCAAAATACCACTGTAATGTCGAAAGCCCTTAACTTTAGAAAATGTCTGGGAAGCTTAATAATAATGGAATTTGAGAAGGGAGATAGTGAAAATGATCTACCGGATCCATTAGTAGTTCTTTAAAACAGCTTTCTAATTATGCTTTTGACAGCTGCGCAGCGAAGAGACAAGAAACAAGCTAATAGAAGCTGATATGAATGGGAAACTTCAAAGTGGGCTATTCAAAAAGTAAGATCTCAAAGTACATGGTATGGGTGTCTTGCAGCATTTGATGTGAGCATTTCTGTGGGGATGGGGTAGGAAATGGTTTTGGAGATTGTTGCATTCGTTTTATTGTTTTTAGAGCATGTGTTTCAGTGTCTTATTCCATTTTTACTGTGTATATTGCTTCAAAGACTTTATGCTGTCAAGCGGCCTATAAATTTGTGAAAGAAAGTAACCAATTTTGAGCTTCTATAAGTCAAGTCACTAGCATGATCTGTAACATGGTGAGGCACCAGTGAATTTTGCAACTGATGAGGCAGTCATGTGGAAGCTATTACGTATTTGTTTTTAAATTACCTTTTATTGAAGAATGTGTGCTCCTCCCCCAGATCAGGAGCTCATCTAGTCAGTTTCACCACTCCACTGACAAAAGAGCCACTGTGGAGTAGTTCTTAGTGACTTGCTATGACCTGGAGACTAGAGGTCAAATCCTGACTCAGTCGTGAAGCTCACTGGCTGCCCTTGAGCCATCAGCCTAACCTACCTCACAGGGATGTTATAAAGGAAGAACCATGTGCAGCACCTTGAGCTACTTGGAGGGAAAATGTCATATAAATATAATAAAACATAAAATAAAAATGATTAAAAGAAGATGGCTGAAATTAAAAACTGTGGGGGAAACCGGAACATATGTACAGATAGAAGCTTTGGACACTGGGCCTAGGCTAGTGGATTGTTATATTAAGGGTGGAAGTTGCTCACATTGTTCTGCAGGAATGATTCCATAGAAAGCCTTATCTGTGTTCTGATATCGTCAGCTTCTTAAAAGCACAACATTTTGTTAACTTATGCCATTGTGGTGAATACCTCTCTCAACCACTTGTACTTCAGCAAAGAGAAGATTCTTTATGAGGCAGACACTCTGAAATGTCTAGAAAGGGAAGAAGAAAACAAAGAGTCCAGTAGCTCCAGCTCTGAGGAAGAAGAAGAAGCCGAGGAAGATGAAGCTTCAGAGTCTGATACTGAAAAAGAGGCAGGTAATATATAGAACTGAGTTTTGTTTTCGTTTCTTGCCTAGTTAAGTACTGATGGGCCAGGGAATTAATGGGAACATAATTTTCTCCCAGGTATCTTTAAAAACTTTATTCATTCTCTAAATATAAGAATCCATAATGTGAGATTTAGGAATAAGGCATACATATAGAATAATAGAATTGTAGAGTTGAAAGGCACCCTCAGGGTCCCCTAGTCCAACCCTCTGCAATGCAGGAATCTCATCTGAAGCATCCATGACAGATGACCTTCCAAACTCTGCTTAGAAACCTCCAAGAAAAAAGAGTCCGCCATCTCTTGTGGGAGTCTATTCCGCAGTCGGACAACTCAGAAGGTTATTCCTGATGTTTGGTCAGATTTCACCTTCCAGAGGAGATTTTTGGGGGGCTTGTGAGAAGCTGTAGTGGGGATGAGAGGAAGGTCCTCTTTTGTGAGTAGAAGTGTACTGTAGTCAGTACTTGTTCCAGACATACAGATTCTTGAAGTCTAATGTTTATAAGCAAAAATAATAATTAATGGAAAGAAGTGCTTCTGCATAGCAATTAAAAAATGAATATCTGAAACGTGAATTATTTGCAGATTTTGGATTTTCTGACCAGACTTGTTGTTGTTTAGTCGTGTCCGACTCTTCGTGACCCCATGGACCAGAGCACTCCAGGCACCTCTGTTTATATGCCTGTTGTCTTTGTCCATGGAGTTTTCTTGGCAAGGATACTGGAGTGGCTTGCCGGTTCCTCCTCCAGGTGGATCACGTTTGGTCAAAACTCTCCACTATGACCTGTTCATCTTGTGTGCCCTGCTCGGCGTAGTTCATATCTTCTCTGAGTTCTTCAAGCCCCTTCGCCACGGCAAGGCAGTGATCCATGAAGGGGCTGACTGGACTATCATCTTCCAAAAAGTTTTTAACCATTTGTCTTAGGGGTTTTCCAGATTTATATTGCTACAGATGTCCAGCTGTTGCTCTTTATTTAGATGGGATGAAAATATCTTAGCACTGTTACTTCGCAATATTTATATATTGTAGCAGTATAATAGCCATTTAGGCGTGGTGTCTGGAATGGTTCTGAAAATGTTGTGTAGCTTGTCCTTTAAAACAAAGACCATTAGCAATATATCTAAGATGAATAAAGGATCACCAAGTGGGTAGAGCTCAAGCATAGAATGTGAAGCTTTATTGCAAGATTACATGTAGCAAAGACACTTAAATGTTTGTATTATACTGATATTCCGTTGTTGCTTCCGCAGGGTAACTGCAGATGAGTGTATGAGTGGGGTTATACAGCAGAAAAGTTACTAATGGTAGAAAAGTTGAAGTTCAGCTTTTTTAGCTTTGTCTGACAATCAGCTTCTGCTTTAGCACCATAAATGAGGAGGGGAGTTAAATGAGGGGGAAAGCCATGTATACCACCTTGATCTCCTTGGAGAAAATGTTGTGATATAATTGCAATGTCAATAAAGAAAGGGTGTAGGAAACTGCTGTAGGACTAGGTAGTTACAAATGTAAAGAAATACAAAGGGTTTTTCTTAGCTCTACTTTGCCAAAGAGCCATAGTCTAGCACATCCCTTTACATAAGTGATTGTGTGTAGCAATGCCTATATCTATCTATCATCTATCTATCTATCTATCTATCTATCTATCTATCTATCTTTCTATCTATTTATCTGTCTATCTAACTTTCTATCTATCATCTATCTATCATCTATCTATCATCTATCTATCTATCTATCTATCTATCTATCTATCTATCATCTATCTAATCTATCATCTATCTATCTATCTTCTATTCCTTCAGATTCAGATACAGAAACACTGCTTTTTAAAAAAATAGAAAACTCATATATATGGATCTACCCTGCATTTTTTTAGCTGTGGTCACCAACTGGAATATATTGCTGTCTAAAAACTGAATCTGTTTCTCAGCATATATTGCTGTAGTACAGAAATAGACAAGTACTTGGCCAGTTCTTTATGCTATTAATAGCTCTCTCAGAAGCAGAAATTACTCATCAAAGCAGATACAGTAATGTAGTCTTATCTTGCTTAAAACAATTATTGTCCACTGTCATGGACAGAAAGGAAAAAGGGAGTTCTGGGATGAAAAGTCTTTAAATGGTGGCTGGGGGGGTGGGGGTGGAGAGAGACAGGTTGCTGCTAAACATGTGTTTGGCCTGTTACTACAGCTATTTGTGATTCTCTCTAGCTGCTTGGGTTTTGCTGCCACCAGTCACTTGAGGGGCTGCATAGACACCAAGTAAGGAGACACAGCTAGACAAAGTTGCCAAAGGGTAATTATTCTAGTTAGATAAATATTTGTTTCATTTGTGCCTTAAGCCTTGAAACGATCCAATTTTTCTTTCTACTCTTCAGTTAATATATTTCACACAGTAGTATATGACTAGCCAGTAAACAAGTGTGTTTGATCACTATCTGGAGGTTCCAGATTCATTTTGGAAGCAAGAGTCTAATCCAAGTGTTGGGTAACCCCAGGTAAATCGCTATCAAATTATGTGCCCCCCCCCCCGATTCATCAGTAACTCTCATAAGCAATTCAAAAACATACCTTTAAAGTGAGCTCTTGATTTAAACATAAGCAGAAGTATTGTTTGCAAAATCATTTGGAGAAAGAAGAGAGTTTTGTAGGGATGTGCTTAAAACTGGATTAACAGTTCTTACTAGTTCAATGAATGAATTTATTAACTGCCATGGATAGGCTTTTTCAGCCATTACTGAAAAGCTATTAAGAGAAAATATTCCTAGTCAGTAGATCTCATACAGATTTTTGCATTTTAAGCTAACGTGTCTTTTTTGCTCAGGTTGTGGGGAAATGACTTTTGAGGTTTGTAGTTTTCTTTCTTGCTTAAACTAGTCATACAGATGAAAGGAACTATGACTTGAGTATCAGGGACACATCACCCTTTTAACTTTAGTATTATGGTATTCTATTTTGTCACTTGTTTTTTCTTGGTCTTTCATTATAGAGAGAAAGGAAGAGTCTATTGCTAATCATTCCAATCATGAACCCAGAACTCTAATCACAGAACAAGTGCCACCACCAGAGCATAACTCTTTCACTATGGCTCCTGCCAGAAAAGTAAGTGGAGGTTGACTTCAGTCTTAAAAGTAACAACTTGCTTTAAATCCTAGCTTACAATACTGTGCAAACTTACTTACAAGTAAATTTTATTAAATTCAGCATACTTCCACATAAACATTTAGAGGATCGAGTGACATTGTACATTAATATTCAGCAGAATTTCTTAAATTTACTGCATGGCTGTGATCATACTGCCCAGTATCTATCTAGCGCATAGACATTTCGCCAGACATTTGAGAAGATTATCTTAAGTGTAGTTGGGTGTTGGGAAGAGGATTGCACTCAGTGCCACATCAGCAGCATTCTGCTTATGCAACAGGACTTCTTCCTTCACTCCTTTCCCTGTGTACTCCCAAATTCTGCTCTAAAGGGTCCCCCATCTTCCCAAGACAGCCACAGAGGTGAGGAGAGGGAAGTTCTGTTGTGCAAGTGGAGCATCAACATTGGTTGGAACCTACAGTGTTGGATTTGGACCAGAGAGACCTGTCTGAAATCCCCACTCAGTCAACCTTATCCACTTCACTGTGTTGTTAGGATAAAATTAAGTAACCATATTTATGTCATCCTGACAGAATGCAAATGAGGTTGATTTAATCAAGATAGATTTAGGAGGGCTGCATTAATTGTTGGTAAAACATTGAGAAGCAATAGTATTCCGCCATTTTTACTTAAAAGCGTATGTGCCCAAAATTGATCTGAGAACCATATTTCTCTATTGCAGAGAACCTGCAGAATTGTACATTTTTAGGCTGAGGAAATTGGTTTTAACATTCTGCAAACATAGAAAATATGTATATCCCCCTTTCCACCACTGGCTTGTTTTCTAAAAAATGAGCTGCACACTTCAGTTAATTTTATGTTGGACATTGCAATAATATATTGTTTAATGCTTCATAAGAACCCTGGATTTCTACCTGTTTAGAAATCGAAGAGGGGTTCTTCCTGTTTTTTGCTTATTCTTGTGTTCTGTTCAACTGGAAATGCTGTCATCAGGCGTTGTGCAATAAAGTTTTTTTACATGTAAGGGAGTTAACAATCTTCTGCATTTTCTTAAGAGCTATGTGGTTGTCATAGCAGCAGAAATCCCAGGTTATGTAATCTTTTCCAGATTTGAGAGGACCCTGTGTGCTAAGATATTATATAACTGAAAGGGCACATTAAAATATTTAGTACTAGGCTTTTTTCTCCCCAAGTGAAACTCAAAATATTGCTGGGGGGGGCAGTTAACCCCTTTCTGTCTTAAATTGCTGATTGATGGTAAATCAAGCTAACATAGATATGCTCATGTAAAAAGTATGGTAATTAATTTGAATCTGTGCTGTTGAACCACTAGGATGAATGATAGAAGCAGAACTATCAGTAATTTCATGCTTCAGCCCACTCCATCTTTGGAAAACACTAATGGTTCTGTTGGGAGAAGATTAAGATAGGCCATTTATCCATATACTGGTCATTTGGAAGGATTGCCTGCGGAGGAGCCTGGGCTTTCTTTTCTTACACTTGTATTCTGTCCTTGCTACAAGGACTCAGAACAGCATTCATGGACTTTCTTGACTAGCATCAGGCAATGTCATGCTGTTTAGCTTTACTCTTCTTCTTAGCTTAGATGTTAGGATGGGGCTGGAAATGTTTACAGTAACCTTGCAGTGGTAGAGTCTAGTGGATCGAAATGGTCCCTCTGCAGTGCAAAGCATATGTATGAACAAATGTCATTTGGCCTTTAAGCATTTGCTAATGTCCAACAAGCGGCTCCTCTGAGCTATGAATCATGCAAGAGAGTCCTGTATGAGCCTCTCACATGTGAGATTCCACCAGAAAAAATAAAGAGTTATATCATTTTGAATAATAAAGACACTTGAGTAGTTAGATAATTCCCCGCCACCACCGAGTGACAATGAAGATGGTTTATTCAGGGTGGTCTGAAAAACAGGCACAAAAGAGGTGTAAAAGATGCAAGCTTATGCTTCACTATAGTCTCTAAAAATGGCATCTTACCGGTTTGCTGAGCTTTAGGATTCAGAAATTAATGCTAGATTAGTTGTTTTTCACAGATGGATGATGTGTATGCCTGGCACTTCAAATACTGCACTACTGGTAAAATTGTATTAATTGGTTTAATGTGTATGTCATGTTCTATAGCAGAAATGATTTTAAACTGGAAGTTAATTATTGGAATAGTAAACTAATCTGGAAGCTTAAAAAGGTAAAGGTACCCCTGACCATTAGGTCCAGTCGCGGACAACTGGGGTTGCGGTGCTCATCTCGCTCTATAGGCCAAGGAAGCCTGCGTTTGTCCACAGACAGCTTCCAGGTCATGTGGCCAGCATGACTAAGCCGCTTCTGGCGAACCAGAGCAGCACACGGAAACACTGTTTTCCTTAATGCCGGAGTGGTACCTATTTATCTACTTGCACTTGACGTGCTTTCGAACTGCTAGGTGGGCAGGAGCTGGAACCGAGCTTAGTTTTTCCTAAATATCCTCCACTCTTCCTTATTGTCCTCTTTCTCTGTTGCAGTTTACTCCATTGCTCAACAAGTCTGAAGAACAAAAGGATGAATCTCCTTCATCATGGAGGCTAAGTCTACGGAAAACCAGCAGCCAAAACACACTTAGTGAAGGAAGCGTTCCTCGTGACATGCCAAGAGAGAAGGATGGTTCCATATATCGTTCTTCTTCGACCCCTCGGATTTCTGCATTATTAGACAACAAAGAGAAGGTGCTGAATAATCTGGCTTTCCTCACTTTGAAATGCAAGTTTTGTAATCTTATAAAGTGTTAGTTAAAGGCCTTTCCATATAACTATTTTTAAATCAAAGCTTTTTCTTAGGGATGTACACATTAGCCCCAAGGCAGTGGCAGTAGTACTATATCTTTACATTAGAACAGGAACATAGCAAGAGCTGTGCTAGCTCAGACTTGGGTTTGATTTGGGTATTGGCAGTTTGGTTTCAACAGTGGCCAGCCAAATGCTTCTGGGTTGCCTGCAAGCATGCCGTGAAGGAAACAGTCTTTGCTGTGGTTAGTTTCCCAGACAACTGGAATTTAAAGGTACATTACCCCTGAACCTGGGAGTTACATTTAGCTACCTTGACTTGATGGTAGCAATGCAAGGGTGCTGGCAAAGTTGTGCCACTAGTTATCAAATGTATAGGCACTATCTGGTACCTGGGACACTCATGCAGTTTCCATTTAGAATTAAACACTTAAACAGCATACAGTGGTACCTCTGGTTAAGAACTTAATTCGTTCTGGAGGTCCGTTCTTAACCTGAAACTGTTCTTAACCTGAGGTACCACTTTAGCTAATGGGGCCTCCTGCTGCCGCCGCGCCGCCAAACGATTTCTGTTCTTATCCTGAAGCAAAGTTCTTAACCCGATGTACTATTTCTGGGTTAGCGGAGTCTGTAACCTGAAGCGCCTGTAACCCGAGGTACCACTGTATTTTGATTCACAAAGTGTTTGTCAGCTCTAGAATTTTTGACTGAAAAATTCAGCATAATTAAGGAATTTATTTTTATTTCAACAGGACAAGGACAACAAAATCTATTTTGCTTCAATAGCCCCTCGCAGGTTAAACAGTGCAGGTGACATAGAAGAAAAGGAAAACCGGTAAGTCTCTTTCAATTTGGGGCTCAACTCTTAAAGAGGTGAATATTTACGAGCTGAATCTCTGGAAGATTCTTTCTCTCCCTCCCTCCTTCTGCATCACATACATAAGTTTCACATCATCATTCCACTTACATTTGAAACAAAGAAGAGCCATGTTTTGGCCGTCTCCCAAATGAACTTCTAATATATTTAAGTTAAGTAAAAAACAATTTAGCAATATATAGTCCTGTTACTTATAAGGCTTTCCTTTTTCCATGTTCCTCTATTTCTCTCTCCCTTTTCAATTACCAGATAAAGTGAATGTACCTGGTATTTCCTTTGTATAACTGGGCTGAATCCAACGAAATCATTGCATACTCAGAAAGACTTCCATGAGTGCAATGGAACTGCTTCCCCCACTTCTCCCCACAGTGTCCCTCTGCAAATCTTCTCTCTGCCCCCCCCCCATTCTCTGGAATAGATTTGGGGACAGTGCAAGGGGCACCTAGAAGGAGGGGAAGTTTCTTTGTGCTTGCAGAAATAGTTCTGCACACACAGTGATTTAGTTGGAGAAAACCCACTGTGTTCTTTCTCCTTTCATATGTTTCTTCTCACTCTTATTAAATGTGGGAAAAACAAAGTCTTATAATTAGAGATTCCCTTTTGGACTTTCTGTGTAAAAAGGAAAATGAATTACTCTATTTGGATCAGAATATTGGGAAAATACCTCATATTTTGAATAATTTCTTTATGTAACTGACAGACAGAAAATTGGAAGTCCCTTTTATTTTTCTTCTCTTCTCTTTTTTGTTCCCCCTTTTCTGTTTTTTGTTCTTATTCAGGTTAGTTTCTTTGATCTTACTGTATTATGAAAAACTTTAATAAAATCTTATTTATTTATTTATTTATTTATTTTAAAAAGGGAACGACCAAGTCTTTTCTGCAGGGAAAGTTGGATAGCAACAAAAAAATTTAACATGGAGAATAAGAATTGGTTTTCAATAGCTGATATGCTTAATATCATGTACTATCATGTTCTTACATCAACGGTCTTTGAAATCTATTTATCATTTGTGTATGTGATCTATTACAAATAGTCCTGTTCTTCACATTTGTCTGTATCCCCTATTACTGTAACATTTCTTAATTAATTCTTAGATGTGGTAGGCATTTTATTATTTAGCTGGGGCACGTAATTCTAGTTTGTGAGCATGATATTTGCTTTATAATTTTATAGTGATATGACAATATATTTTGCCATAGAAAAGGTATACTGATCTTTACTTTTGGCCATGCTATCTTTTAGAGGTAGTTTGTTGATAATCTCAGCATTGCATATGTACTTAGTACCCTCGAAATAGTTCAGAATGTAGAGCTATATTACAATCTGAACCTTCGACTCACTATAGACTGGCATGTTTCTTAACACCCAGTTTGACTAGCAATAGGCTGTGGGTTGGCTTGAGGGTTTATCAGTATAGATTTCAGCTTAAGATCCCCCCACTCCTATTGCATTTGCAGAGAATCTGCTGTAAATTTGGTACGGAGTGGTTCTTATACCCGGCAACAGTGGAGGGATGAACCAAAGGGAAATGAAGCACCTGCAACTGGTGCACCTTCCACTTATGTATCTACTTATATGAAAAGGTGAGTCATGTTAAAACCTCTGCTTTTAAGATGTTGCATTTTGCTTTTCATCTAACATATACATCTACAAAAATCTGAGAGATATTATGATTACCATGAAAACCAGTGACGACAGAAGCCTAAATGATTTGCCAATTGCATCAGTCTTACTTCTCTTGTACGTGTGCTGAAAGATGCAGGTTTCATATGCCTGTGTACTCACTGCTTTTCCTATATGGAGAAATCATATCCATTAGGAAAAGTGTCTTGTGTGAAGTAGCAGAAAGTGTCACTTTATCTAGAGACTTAGTAGAAGTTGGATACATTTGTGGAAACTACAATAAGGCAAGCTTTACACTTTACCTTGTAGAGCATCCTGTGTAATTTCAAAATTACTCCTTACGGGCACCTTGTGTCCATAATAATTGCTCGGATCAATTGAAACAATGCACAAACACCTTCCTTTCAAATACAAAGAAACATTTATTTGTTTCAAATAATACTAATGTTCTTTAAAAAATGCGAACAAATAAAATTAAAAAGTTATTGAACACATCAATGTCATGAGTCTGTTATGAACCAACAACCCAACTGATTTGGGGTATAGGCATAGAAAATAACAGTTCAAATCAGGAACGGAAATAAGAAATGATACCTCTATTTGCTGGACACATTCCTATCTTATGCTAGTCTTCATTTGACAAAAGGTGTGGTAGCTGCTCCTAGGGTTTGATAAGACAGTTTAGGTTTATATAAGAATAGCCTTGCTACGATCAGGGCATTCGGTCTCCCAGTTGCCAACCGGAGAGGGGCCTGTGGGCATCCCACAAGCAGGACATTAGCCCTTACCATACTTGGTGCTTCTTAGCAACTAGTATTCAGAGGCATATTATTGATCCTGGAATAGTATGCACCCATCATGGCTAGTAGCCATTGGCAGCTTTATCCTCCTGTGAATTTGTCTACCCCGCTTTGAAGTTGTGCAAGTTGGTGGCCATCATTGCATCCTTTGGCAGCAAATTCCACAGTCTGTTCTGGATCTTACAACATTCAGTTTCTTTGGATGATCCTGGGTTTTTTCCCCAAACCAACCAACCACAAATGTTATGATCTTAGGGACATTCTTCTAGTCCCATTATCATTTTGGTTGCATTTCTCTGCACCTTTTTCAGCTCTACAGAACCCTTTTTGAAGCCAGAACTCAACACAGTACTCCAAGTGTGGTTGCACCATAGACTTGTATAGCAGCATTATAACAGCATTATGCCTGTTTTATTTTTGAAGGCCTTTCCTAGCGATCCCTAATGCAGAACATAATATATCAATTTGAGAATCATGGACCTCCATAAATTCCTTAGCGTCTGAGCCTGAGTAGTGAATGTGGCCACTATGAATGTTTTAAACTTATCTGTGTTGGGTTCAGTGAGCTTGATTGTATGCGTTGTGTTGCACCGTGGTAGACTTTAAGGCCCAAAATCATTCCGGGAATGTATTTGTGCTTAAATGAAATAAGTCGTTTCAGTTTTAACTGAAGTTACTGATCCTTTTACCTGTGCCTGAACACTTTCATGTTGGCTATTTCATCCTTCTTCAAGCTGTACTTCAGCCATCTCTTTCTTTACTTGGATATTTCTGAGCTTTCCTTCCCGCTCTGCTCTTTTTCATTTTGTTATTTTATCCAACAGAATAACTTGACATGTATACAGTATGTTCAACTGAATTTATTTTTCCATTTTCCTGTTTCTTCTCTTTTCCCCCTGTTTCCAGCCTATTACTTTATCTCTCATGTTTCTTCAGTCTTGATACAATGCCTTGCTCATTTGACTTCTCCATAGCCCTAGGGAATTATGTATAATCTCCCTTGCCTTAATTTTGCTGATAGATAAACATTCTCTTGGCAATTAACCAGGGTCCTGTGCTGGTCTGCAACAATATTTTCAATCTTCTCTGAAGCAAGTGATTTTCTGCTGTCTTACAGTGCTTCATTTGGTAGAAGTAGTGACCTCAGCAGTCCCTATATTTCAGCCAATCGCAATGCATCTTCTGCTACCTCACCCACTATTATTGGTTCATCTACCTCATTGGGCAGAGAGTGGCAACTTGCCTCTTGCCCTTCATCTGTCAATTCTAGCACTACAGCATCAGTACGCCAGTTTAACAGGTAAGGGCTCATAGTATGTCCACTGAAGAGGGTTTATCAAAGTGCCCATAATTTTTGTGTCAAAGCAGCGCTGCTTTATGGCAGGCATAGGCAAACTCGGCCCTCCAGATGTTTTGGGACTACAACTCCCATCATCCCTAGCTAACAGGACCAGTGGTCAGGGATGATGGGAATTGTAGTCTCAAAACATCTGGAGGGCCAAGTTTGCCTGTGCCTGCTTTATGGTGTGATATTTCAGTCTGAAAATTCTTTCCAAGAGGTTCTATCTCTAGTTAGTAAAGTATTCAGAATGAATGTTTACAAACTCCATACAAACCGGTTTCCCCCCCTAAATACAGTGTTGAACTGTGTGTATGCCTTCCCCTGCCCCTTCCCCAGACCAATCAGGTGTATAACTTGAGTCATTTTGGCATTCAATGCTTTAAACTTTTAATAAGCAAGTTACAAAAATATTTTAACTCATATGTATTCTTTTTCAAAAGTGACGCGGGTGGCGCTGTGGGTTAAACCACAGAGCCTAGGACTTGCCAATCAGAAGGTTGGCGGTTCGAATCCCCGCGACGGTGTGAGCTCCTGTTGCTTGGTCCCTGCTCCTGCCAACCTAGCTGTTCGAAAGCACGTCAAAGTGCAAGTAGATAAATCGGTATCGTTCTGGTGGGAAGGTAAACGGCGTTTCCGTGCGCTGCTCTGGTTCGCCAGAAGCGGCTTAGTCATGCTGGCCACATGACCCGTAGCTGTATGCTGGCTCACTTGGCCAATAAAGCAAGATGAGCGCTGCAACCCCAGAGTCGGCCACGACTGGACCTAACGGTCAGGGGTCCCTTTATCTTTACCTATTCTTTTTCAAAAAATGTTTATTTGTATTTTCCAAAGTGGCAAATAATAAAACTAAACATTACAAGACAAAATAAAACAAAGTCATGCATAACATAGACATTTTCCTTCATTATTTACATTGGGAAGTAGTAGCCTTTCTTGTAAAACTGAATAACAAGTCATTGACACATTGCCATTACAGAAACGAGCATTTTATAACAAGGTGTCCTTCCAAAATGGCTCCTCTCCTGTAGGAGGCTACATTTCCTGCATACCCATGTTTACAAAAGACATAGCTAGAAACCAAATAGAGGCAAATGCATCAGGACCTACTAATCTCCTTAACGTTATATTATGTGTCAATTGTTTAAGTCAGCACGGTGCGCTATACATGTTTCACCATGCTTGCTCTAAGCTTCTAGGCCATTTTCACCACATAAATTGTCAGTATTGCATGATGCACCAAGAGTAAATTGTTTCCCAAATCTTTAGATAATAAATGGTCTTTTAAAGGTTTAACTCACTTTGTTTCCTATACCCCCTCCTTTAGGGTGCTCTACCATTGCACATGAACCCCTGTTTCATATTTTTCAGATCCCCTTACAGACAACAAACTGACTCTACAACAGAGAAGAGCACAGAGGGCATCTCTCCTAGCATTCCATTAAGTGTCATAACAAATCTCGCTGTACCCAGTAGTGCCAATGGTGTCACAACTGCCAATTTTAACTCAACGACTGGAACAGAGTCCTCTACTGGTGATGCTAGGGATCGGAGAAGGTGAGTGAGTATTCTTGTGAAGTGTGTTTTGCCTTTACCTGCTGTAACAATTGATTAGAAACGTTTTTCTGTGTTAGTGATCAGATTGTGCTTGGGTTACACTGAACTATCTGGACTAAGCTGTGTTGCAAATATTTGCGATGGTTTGAAATTATATTTCCTGAGAGGGTATTCACCTACTGTTGTGTGCAAGATTTCCTAATTTTTGGTATTTACAGTCAAGATGTATTTGTGGTTAAGGTGACTTGGTCACAGCCACTATTTTGAGTTTGGAAAGGATTGTGTGGGTGCGCATGTATGCTTGCAAGTGCATTTTCTTATGTATATTCTATGCAAACATATTTTATGCAAACAGTTCAAAGAAGACCTAGCATTTCTTTTAAGCTTTCCACTATCCATTGTCTTCATTCAAAGCATAGTACCTCCAGATTATAAGTTTTGCATAACAAAGCCACATGATTCTGCTCATTCAGTTTCCTTTACTATATTTTTAATCATGCTGTTGATTGCATGAATGTTTCATTGTGAGCAGTTGCTGGAATTCTCCATGGTACTATGCTGACCTGGCACTACTGAAATGTACATTAGTTTTGCCCACATATTTTTGGAATGGCCATGGCTATCTAAAATAACATTCTTTTATGGACATCTCATGTTATTTTGTGGGACACGGAGGGAGGTGCAGTTGGTTTCAGAATTGCAAATCTATGGGCAGGATTCAACTAAGTTGCTGCATGTGCAGAATGAGATCTGCTCATGCATTGAGACTTCTCCCTGTGTGTGTTCCCTCTGTATCCTCTAAATTTGTCTTGGAGAGTTGTTGGAGGGCACAGGGGTAGGAGAGGGAGGAAAGTCCCAGTGTGTGAGCGGACTTCATTTCCCTCATACATACCCCACTTAGTACTACATTGAATTCACCCTATATTTCTTTATTATTATTATTACCTAGCGGTTGAGCTCTGTTGAGATGACCTTGGTTTCAGATGAGATTAAAGCAGATGATATTAAATGGTGACCAATTGTGGGGTTTAAACCATATTCTTAGTAATGTAAATCAGTCAGACATTTTGAGAGGAAGCCTGGTGGCTTAAAATGAAAAATAACAGGCATTTGCTAGATACCACAATATGGGTTTTCAGCACTTAATGGCAGCTGTCACAATAGCACATTCATCTAATTCAGTGTTCTCAAAGCTCCATGTTTCTCTTAGCAACAACAACATAAACTCCCAGACTAATATTAGATCATTAAGATGCCTCCATAACAGGCAGCTCCTCCTTGCCTATTTGAAGCCTCTGGATTAAAACTGAAATGCATTGCTAGGTTTAGGAGGAGAGAATAAGTCATCTGGAATGTCCTTCCTTTCAGAAAGGTGCTGTTACACTGACTGAGAAGCTGACTGTAGATATGACTTTTGAACAAGTTCCCTTCATACATTTTGTTCTAAGTGCAAAAATCCAGAGGATCAAATGTCCAAATAGTTTCTATTCAGGTTTCATTCATTATTTTCCCACAATGGTGTGAAACCTTCCATCTGATCTAATCCTACATTGGTCCAGTAACGTCTGGATGGAAGAACCACATGGAAGCCCTGCGCTTGTGAATTGTGTTCACTTAGCCATTGTGGTTTCCTCATACAAACAATAGCGAAGCAATTTGAACTGTACTAGGTTGAAGTGACTATTGGGTTGCTGTGGGAAATGAAACCAAGACTACAGTTGACCTATGATTAATAGCAGGTAGATTTGCGGTGTCTAACTGCAGAGTAATAATCCATCATAGAAATTAGATTTTGAAATGGAGCCTGCTATTGTACTCTGCTCTTGTTTCAGCATTAACTGCGGAAGCCTGGAAATTTGACTGAAGCCTTAGTAGTTTGCTGATGCATGTTTCTTTACACACTGAATTATTCTGCTATATTATATCAATGTTCTGCTGAGTCTGCTGTCTTAAAACCTTGTCTATGCTGCCTTAGCAGTTTGGACTTGGGTGGTGAAACAAGTTCATTTATACACATAAGCACTCTATTTTGATCTTGCTATTATTGTTTGCTCATCATTTATATTAAAAGCAGCAATTAAGACACATGAATGATGGGACTTGCAGTCATACGATTGAAAATATCTCACATCTAGCAATTTTTTAGATTAACCAGGGGAGATCAAATAAATCATCCATTGCCAGAACAAATATGTGACTGATGTCCATTTCTTTTTTATAATGTAACTATAATTTTGTAATACTTATGGAAAAATCAAACTAAACTGTTTACCTTCCGAAAACGAGACCTTTACCTAGCCAGTTTCTGAATAGATAGTGATTGCATGGACTTCATTGATGTCAGTGCTGTGGACAACTGTCAGTAAGAGAGAACCTTGCTGCTGATTTGTGCTTTGTTGACTTTCAAAGTCCTTGACATTATTAACAATAATTCTGCTTTTGCTGTTGTCATGATTTTCTCTTAGCTGTTTACATAAGGCTCCCATTTTTCATAGGAGGAGTTTCCCCCTTTTGTTGCAATCTTGAGCTTTGAGTTAAGCTTGCATGGCTTGATGGGAAGGAGGGGTATAGACATGATTTAATTTTGCAAATAAGATTAATTTAAAGATTATATATTATTGTATGAAGGCCAAGAACTGCAAAACAAGTGGTTAGTCATTATATTTGTTTTTGTATTCCCTCCCCCTCATATATTTTGTGTTTCTTCTTTTTCTTTTTTGAGAACATTCACATTTTTTAAAAAAATGGCTTGGTAGGTTAAGCATATCCTCTTAAACAGTGAGTACAGTGGTACCTCGGGTTAAGTACTTAATTCATTCCAGAGGTCCATACTGAACCTGAAACTGTTCTTAACCTGAAGCACCACTTTAGCTAATGGGGCCTCCCGCTGCTGCCGCGCTGCTGGAGCACGATTTCTGTCTCATCCTGAAGCAAAGTTCTTAACCCGAGGTACTATTTCTGGGTTAGTGGAGTCTGTAACCTGAAGCGTATGTAACCTGAAGCGTATGTAACACGAGGTACCGCTGTACTACTTTTCAAAGAAGTATGTACATTAGAGGAATTGACCACAGCCTTGCTAGTGGTGGTAGAGTAGCTGCTATGCTAGGTGCCTGTAGAAGTTGATGTACATGGGCTCCAGAAAACATAGGTTATTGTACCATTTGGTGTCATTGTTTGAATAGTTTCAATTGTTCTGCTAAATTCCACCATTGACTATGTGCAGAATTGCTGCCCGTTTCTAGTGTTTGCCCTGATTAGCTATGATTTACTAAGTTATGAATGAAGGGAAAGTGTTTATTTCTAAGGAAGTGCTTGATAAGAGCAATCACTTCCTATTTCAAATGCTCCATGGATGGGTATTGTACTAATTGTCAAAGAGCTGTTTCTGAAATCTCAGCCTAGTTGCTTTCTGTGTTTTGGGGCACCACCTACCGTTTAGAGATTGTACCTGCACTTGGGCCTACTCTGGCAAACATTTATAATATAGCACGTGAACCTCCAGGAAAGAGAAGCCTTAGTTCTGAAGGTCAGACACACATATTTTGTAGATGTTCTTCTGTCTGCCTTTGGCCGTTTGTTTTTTTTAATTTGTAAAAAGAAATTGCATATTCTCTGTCCATATAACAAAGTAGCACAATAATAAGATTATGATATCTCCCCAAGAGCAGCACATACGTTAGCCGTCAAGGAAGAAAGATGGAGATGGGAAATATGAGAGAGAACAGGGAATCACGCAGGCAGTGTGCATGGAAAAGTGGTGGGACTGACACAAGAAGAAATAAAAATAAAAATTGCATGACTCTATAGGTGTGGATGGGGAGAGAGTTAAGGGAAGATTTCCACCAGGCCTGTAGATCCCAGTAAGTGACCAAACAGTATAATCTAAACAATGACCCATGAATGAAGCCAAGGAATCTTCATGAAATTCTTACTGACTGCCCAAATTATCTGGATTTTGGAAGAAGTTATTTGACTAGTAACTATTTCCTGGAATCTAGATTTCTCTGAATCATTCCTACAAGCAGGCTACCTGATAGAGTGAATCTCCATTATTTTCTAGTAAGAATGGAAATTACTATGAAATCAGATTCATATTGGATGGAAAAAACCACACATGAGATGCAGATTCATATTGGTTGAAGACACTCCATGTACAGGATACAAGTTTCATGTATTTATTTGTTTGTCGGTTTGTATCCTACCCTTCCTCTGACATAAATAGAACAAAACATTTATAAAAAATAATAATATAATAAAAACCAGAATCACAAGCAAGCTTAACAGAGATAATAAATGACAAGCAATACCACCCCACTAAAATCACTACGATATCAATGCTTCACAAATAAAAATAAATTTGCAGTGTTGCTTCATCTTTTTATTTGACAAAGGTAGCTTGCCTTGGTAGAACTTGGTTGTTTGAAATCATTTTTCTTGTGTAACTGTGAATCTGCCATTAGCTCTCCCATACTTCAGAATCTTGCGTGAACATATTTCAAACTGTTCTTGCTTTATCTTACCTTTCATGCTTATTTCTTGATACCAACATGGCCCAGTCTGCTTTATCCTCGTGCAATTAAAATATTTGGGACAATAATCAATATTTGATTATTCTAAGAGTGTTGTGCACAATTTATGCAGTTGTTGGTATTCAATTGTAGAAAATCAGGACAGAGGAAGATAACCTTCTGAAAGTGTTAGGAAAACCTCATCTCAGATACTTACATAACTCCAAAGGGTTTTCAGGGGGCTACTCTATCTGTAAGTCAAAAGGTTGTTCAGAGCCCTTGTTTAAAATAGCATGCAGGCTGTAACAAGTATCTCAAGGCTGCCGAGTTCAGTTATCATTGCTGTCAGAACTGTATGCGTTGTGTGGTGACTCCTGGTCTTATATGAAATGGTGATTATGCGGCAGGTTAATCGGTTTGGTACAGTTGTAAGTTCATACCACGGCACCCTTCATATCTCTCTTGCACAAGTGTGTATGCATAATAAACACACACATCAGAGGTCTTAAACAGTTGCTGATTCTGTTTTTCGTCAAAATGAGGAATTATTTCATATTGAAGCACTTCATTTACCAGAACAATTTTGCAAGGCTCTGACAGATTCCTACACGAATAAAGTACTTAAGATACTATTTCCCCTTCCATGCCGCATACTTGGCACTGTGTTAGGAAAGGAGGGCAAAGGCTCTCTTAAAGAAGGAACCAGTCAGCCAACACCTGCTACTAAAAGTGCTTATCAGCCATGCTTTTATAGTTTGCGATAAAGTCGTTCTTTTATACAAAGAGCTACCAGTGCTGCTGTGATGATGTAGGAGGGGCAGGAATTCTGCCTGCTGTTTGATTTTCCTTGTTGGGAAGAGGAAAGGTTGTTGTTGCTTTATCAGGCATCAGACTGCATTTTTATGTGCAAGAGGTCAGGGTGAGGGCTTGCGTCTTACCGGAGAAAGCCTGGCGACCTGTGGAGTAACTGAGCAGGTATACGTGAAAGGGTTTCAGCTCCTGGAGGGACTTCCTGACATAGTTCAAGGTGGGAGTTCTTATTGGCTCAGATTGTTACATATTTGTGCTTAGTGCAAAAACAAAAAGCTGTGCAGATTAAAGTAGACCAACACCTAACTTTACTTACTAAACACTTAGAGGCTTAGCTTGTGCTGGACTTTAAGAGAACTGCCCAAGAGAAGGAGTTTATGCGCTAGGAATGACTTACAGTTTGTACCCAGAAAAGTGGCTTTAAAATCAGGTAAAGCTGCCTTTCTCTAGAGTCTGCTTTATTCCACTCTTGCCTCAGATACTAACTGAATGTATTTCTGTGTTTGCTAATGTTCGTTTAGGATGGGTGTACTTGAAGAATTCTGCTCTTAACAGAGAGCATTTATGTATATTTTCACTGAAGACTAATAGAGAATTTGGTTAAAACTGTTGTATCTTCCTTGCCTGCTGTTGGACTATGAGATGTACATGCATACCCCCTCTAAGAATCCTGTGAACTGTAGTTTAAGGGTGCTGGGATTTGTAACTTGTTAGGGGTAAGCCACAGTTCCCAGGATGGCAGTGGTGGTAAAGGTTCTTAAAATCTATGTTGTGTGCGCAGCTTGAGTCATGAAGGGGAGTAGTCAGGGTGGAGTTTTATCACTTTCCCTTTGTTATATTCTTCCACAAAATCAGTTTAGCCATACAGTGTAGATTTACAGTTTAAATAATTTTATGCACAGTGCATGTAAGTAAAGTGTGCTAAAATTCAAGGTACAAATCTTGAAGCCAGTGTCAGCTCCAGGTTTTGGAGGGCCTTTGGGCAAGGCAACCTCCATGGACCACCCTCCCTCACTGAATCTATTTTTTCATTGTAGCAGGTCCAGTGGCTCCTCTACTGACATGTGACCCTTGATTCATGTTGATCCTTGACACCAGCCCTCATCAAATCATAGATGGCTAATCTTTATGCCTTGCAAATATTAGTTTTTCCCAATTTTTTTGACCCATGTGAGGTGGTTACTTTCCAGTTTTTCTTTTCTTTTTTAAAGTTGTTTTTAAAGTCAGTTCTTTGTAAAAGGTTGGCATCTCTCTGGTGAATCAGGAAATCTTTTTCAGATGGCAATGAATTTGCCATGATACCAGCTGTCTTTTGTGAACAAGAATATGGAAGACTGTTGCTTTGTGGATATGACTGCTTCTTGTTCAGCACATTTCAGTCTCATCTTATTAAATGTACCTTGGCTAATTCGACATGGACTGTCTGTTCTCTTTGGAAGAGCTAAACCAGAATTGAGTAAAAGCACCACCATAGTATCTGGGTTTTGCTTTCTGGACTAGGTCAGCTGGGCTGCTCCTGCTAGTCTCTGTTGTGTGGAAACTGGCACATCCTCTCTGTGGCTTATACCTCTCTAGCCTACACATTTCCTTTAAAGGATGCAAACCTGTGCACACTTACCTGTGCATAAATCCCAATTAACTTGATAGGGATTACTTCATATACAATATCACATACAGATTGTTACAGTAAAAACACCACAGCCCCAGTCCTTTCCTTTAAAGTAAGTGGTCCTAATAGAGAAGAAAGTTCCAAAGGGGTATGTGACTGTTTATAGTATTTTTACTCTATTCTTCAGCTGGAAAAACAGTTTTCAGAGTGACTTGCAAATATGAATATTAATATAGTAAATAAATAATAACAGCTTTCAGGCTTACACACTAAAAGATAACACAAAATGAAAAGAGATTGAGAGGGAGGAGGAAGTAAGCAAACCTGTGCACTCAGTTTTAGTTCGAGTTTTTTGTGTGTGGTGACCACCTGGAATGGTTGTATGTATAGCAGCCTTTGCCAAATCCTGGTGTCTTCCAGATGTTTTGGACTATAGCTCCAATACTCCCTGGCCATCGTCCATGCTGGCTGAGACTGATGAGTCTTGTAGTGCAAAACATCTCATGGGCACCAGGTTGGCAAAGACTTGCATGTATAGTGCCTTTAGTGAGCATTAACAACTGCCTTCATGCCTAAAATTCTGCATCCTACGCTGTTACACAGACCTGGTTTGCACATTACACTAAACCATATTAAAAACAAACAAATCATGTTTTAATGTGGAAGGGTAGATCACTTGTGCATTCCGCTGAAAGGTTTTCACTCCATTCATCTCCCATTTCTACAGCTGCCACACCTCAGAGACAGAAGCTACAATCTCATTTATTGTGATATCTGAACTTGAGGTTGTGGTTTATTTCTCTCCAAGCAGTAAGTTGAGAGCAAACCATGGCTACTGCTTCTGGTTTATAGAGAAACAAGCCATAGCCCCTGGTTCAGATGCCTTAACCAGACGGACTCTGGTGACTTTCCCATCACAGTACTTCAGTACCGCTTATTTTTGATGTGGAAAGAGGAGCTATTCTTAGGGAAAGAAAGAAGGCACACTTCACTTTTTTCAGGCTTATTTTTGGAGGGGGAGAGAGACCCATGCAAGCAGGGTGCAGATGCAGAGAATCAAGCACTTCTTCATTACTTTTTTGTGTCTCTGCTATTTGAGTTACACAAGAGTATGACCAGAATATCATGGAGGTGCTAATTTTGAAAACAATGGCTTTGGCTTGATTTCCACAGCATACTTAATGGTTTATTGATGAGACCCTTCTGTGCATTTCTAATTCAAATAAATTTTCAATCCAAATGCATATTTGATCTAGCTCTCTTGTACAACTCAATTATAAACTAAAATAATTGATTATGTGCCATATAAGAGCTTATGTGGAGTCCTGTCAGTACTGGGACCCATGCTTTTGAACTTGTTCAAAAGTGTTCTGTGCCACTGCTTGTAGGATTAGACTCCCACAGGGATTATTTCTTTTTGAAATTTTAGAAGACAGCAGGATTCCTTCTAACCCTAGACATGAATTCTAAATTTTAATTCCGTTTTGGTTATCTCAGTGTAAGACAGAGTTGCATAACTGTGGGCGGCTATGCCCAAATAAAACAGCTGATATAAATCAATCATCTTGAAATAACTTAGTTATAAGGTGGTATTGTTAGTAGGTTTCTTCTATGCATGTGAGCAACTTGGATACATGAACAAAACAACCTATATGAAAAGGCATAAAATCTTAATTTGCCTATATATATATATCCATTCTGTCCCTTTCTTTTAGGTCATATCTGACTCCTGTCCGGGATGAAGAAGCAGAATCTCTAAGAAAGGCACGATCCAGGCAAGCTCGCCAGACTCGTAGATCTACACAGGTACGGAACAATAACTCTTTATGGCCTGTTAGATGTTGGGCTATTTAAAAAATAATTATTTAAGTAGAATTATTTAATGCATCCTGTGAAGATACCTAACACTTCCCCACTCACACTTCATTGCTGCGTTCTCCTTTTGAATGAAGTTGCATTATTTCTGGAAGACATCCAAGATCACACACCTGTGAATCTCCAAAGAAGGGAATTACTTCCATATTATACATTTGAGAAACAAATAAAGTGGTCTGTAAAAGCTCCTGTAAAAGGAGATTATGATTTTTTTTCCTTAATGGAAGAATGCTCCAGGAAAGTGTTGTCCATGGGTAGCAATGTTGCATTGTAATGTTCTCTCTTAAAAACATCTCTGTACCTGCTATACAATGACATTATCAACCACTGATGTTTGTGATTCTGTATTTATCATTTCTTCCTTCTTTTAAGCTGATTGATATATTAAAGTGGTGATTGCTAACTTTCATGCCACTGGGTCTGACCTATAATTAGAAATTGGCTGAGCTTGGGCTTTGTGGAAAAGGTAATATAATTTGTGTTGAGCTGTGGATTCAGTGTAAGAGGTGTAATGTTAACAAATACAGTCATACATCATGTTGCGTCTGCTTCATGGTTACTTTTCAAGTTGTGTCCCGCAGCAACCCGGAAGTACCAGAACGGTTACTTCCAGGTTTTGCCGCTTGCGCATGCACAGAAGCGCTAAATCGTGCTGTGTGCGTGCGCAGACGTGGCATTTCTGGATGCGAACGCTTCAAGTTGTGGACGTGCCTCCGGGATGGATTACGTCTGCAACTCGAGGTTCCACTGTATAGGTATAATAGACTTGACTTTCTCCCATTTCCCAGGGTGTAACACTTACAGATCTTCAGGAGGCAGAGAAAACCTTTAGCCGATCTCGGACAGAGCGGCCCGAACAGCCAAGTGAAAAATTGGAAAGAACTGAAGCAACGGAGGAAGACCGTGAGAGGCAGGCACAGACTGCAGCAAGGGAACCTGGGGAGACCCGCTCACGATGGAACAGAAACTTGGATGAAGAGGTGAGTAAAACTATTGTAGTAATGCCAAAGTTACAGGTTTGATCCCTGTATGAGACAGCTGCATATTCCTGCATTGCAGGGGCTTGGACTAGACAATCCTCAGAGTCCCTTCCAACTCTATGATTCTGTGTCCAGCTACCTTTTTTCAAAATGTTTTTATGGCTTGAGATGAGCATCAGGTTTTTAATTATTCTGCTTTAAAGGTATTAGGGAAGATTGGATCCACTTTTTGAACGTAAGCACTGTAGCTGTCAGATGTTGCTTTGCTTTCCACTTCACCATTCATTTATTATGCCCAACAGTAAGGAAAACCTATAAGTGTAAAGGAATACAAAGTGCAATGAGAAAATCATGCTGAGTGTTCAAAATGAATATTTGTTCTTTCCAAATACTTGAACTGTAACTAATCAGAAAGCTGTATTAGCAGTGTTGTTGTTGTTTTATTAACATTTGAAGGGCATGTCTAGATGACAGAACTTAATAAATGCCATTTTAAATAGTTTCCATACAGACTTTCAAGGGTTGTAATATTATCAACTGACAAATGATTTTCATCTTTGTCTACAACTGTGAGATGATACTACCTAATGTAGATTCTCTGACCATAAAGTCATCCCCCCCCCTTAAACCACAAGGCAATTTTTATGATAGCTTTGGAGATGTGCTCATATCTGTAGGCTTTTAAATGGTTTCTCTTGCATTTAGATTGTAGGTATGGTTCTTGTTGGGCATGACTCAAACTAGGTTTCCTGAATTTGCTAATCCACGTCTAAACACACGTGGAATCATTGACAAGATTGGGATACATACAGATTTTGACCACAAGGTGACAGGGTGACAGTACAAAGTTGTGTTGCAGTCGGGGGGGGAGTGTCTTCACCCCTAGACTCTAGATGATCTATGTTTTTGCTTCTCTGAAATCATTATGAACAAAGATAGATTTTAAATCCTCTTTTTTCACACTATCATTATTATAAGTAAAATAACCTTTGTCTCCTGTCTCAAATGATCATTCTTGTTCTTTATAGCCGCCCTAAATCAGAATGGAATGAACCTTTCTATAGTCTAACTCCATTAATAGAGTATGATTAAAGATTGAGGAGAATACTTGTACTTTGCTTGCTGTTAAATATCTTCTTATTAAGTCATTAATTCTGCTCATTTGTCTTTCAGTCTGTTGGTCAACGATTGAGGGGCTCGGCGCAGCAAGACAAACCCACAAGCCCCATCTCTCCTTCATTAGCTCCTTATCTTTATTCAAGTTCTCACCTTCCCAGGACAAGTAGATCTGTATCTTCTGATTCTGTGAACCCATCAGACTTCCAAAGCACATCTGCTGCTGACATGGAGAAAAATGGTATTTACTATTGTAATTACAATATTGTACAAATCTTTTGAGTTTGTTTTTGTACCAGATAGTGACTGTGTAATACTATACTTCATACTTGACCAAGAAAATTGAAGAATACCCAAGGAAAGCTTCTTCACCCTTAATATATAGCACAATATATTACAATATATAGTATTTGGAATGCTGAATCTTCTTTGTCTGGGTTAACAAAGCCAGTATCAACTGCAACCCACCATGCCCTGGGCCCTCTGGTCTCTCACTCCACCAGCAAAAATAAGACACCTATCCACATGATGCTGACAAAAAAAGCACCACTCGTATACTCTGTGAAGAAGGAAAGTTTAGTCTCTCTCACCCCCCTTCTCCTTTACTTTCTTCCCTCTCCCTCCCCCACTTCTCTTACCCCCTCATTGCCTACAACATAAATGTCTTAAATTGACAGTAATTGATGGGTATGAAAATATGATTTGAAAATAGAGACACTGAATGTACTTATGGAAAATCTTTTAATAAAAACATTTTTTAAATAAAAAAAAGCAATGAAATAACACCTCTAGGAATTTGAGCCCCTCCTGAAGAATCACGTTAATCTCAGTTGAATGTTTCTTTGAGCTAATGGCTTCGCATCATATTAAAGTACATCTGCTTTAGGGAGGATCCACTGCTTGGTCTTTGAAATTAAAAATATATATATATAAATTGTTAGGTGTTTAGAATGGAAATCTTTATGTTGGTATTAATTTGCCTTAATTTGAAAATGTTTCCATGGTATTGGTAAATCAATTTACGAGGCTATTTATAGCTAAAACTATATTTCTTTGGACAGAATATGAAGATCAGGATTTGGATGACAGAACTTCAAACAAGCAGTCGGTTAGAGAGAGGAGGCGGCCGAAAGAGAGACGAAGAGGCACAGGGATCTCTTTCTTTACAAAGGATGTAAGTAATGACATTCCTGGTGGAATTGAAGGCGGATGAAAAATTAACCAAGTTGCACATACCAATTGCTAGGGAGGCAAAATCTAAACTGGAAGTGCAAGATCCATCTGTGAAAATGAGAATACTGTTTCAGTATTCTGATGGGCAGATGTTATAGGCGAAGGGGATCGAGATATGGATACGCTCGTACCCCTTCCAATCTGCACCCCATCCCGAGGGACGAGGGTAGGGTGAGCAAGGATTACTCACCTCCGTCACTGGTGCTGTGCAATGCCAGGTCTATAGGCAATAAAACCGCCACCCTGCGAGATTTCTTTATCTCGCAGGGGGTCGACCTGGCTTGTGTGACGGAGACCTGGGTGCGCGAAGGGGCAACAGTTACCTTACAAGAGATGGCGCCCCCGGGTTTCTCCGTCCTCCACCAGTCGCGGACTGTGGGCCGGGGGGGGAGGGGTGGCATTATTAATCCGGGAAGATTGTCCTTTCAGGGCTCTACCATCGCCATCGATCCCCGGCATTGAATGTGTTGGCCTAGTGTGGGGCTCCGAGGAGAGCTTGGCTGTCTGGCTGGTGTACCGGCCACCTAGCGCACCAGCAGCCACCCTGTCAGGCCTATTGGAGGCGGTGGCCGGCTGGGCCTTGGAGTTCCCTAACCTATTGGTATTGGGGGACTTTAACATCCATGCTGATGCCCCTCCCTCCTCACAGGCTCTGGACCTGGTGTCTTCCATGGCGACACTAGGGCTCTCCCAGTTTGTTTTGGGCCCCACACATCAAGCAGGCCACACGCTGGATTTGATCTTTGGCGTCGGTATAGATGTGATCATGTCTCCTTCGATGAAGGTGCCATGGTCTGATCACTACGCTCTGAAAGCCAGGATTGACTTTCCACCCCCACCCTGCTTAGGTGGCGAGCCGATTTGGGCTCGCCCGCAGAGGCTGATGGACCCTGAGAGATTCCGCCAAGCCTTGCGGGACCTTGCTCCCCCTGGCGACTCATTGACTGAGCTTGTTGAGGGCTGGAATACCCAGCTCCTGGCAGCCATCGATGAGATCGCACCTAAGCGCCCTCTGCGACCCCGCAGAAACTGGGCTCCCTGGTTTACCGAGGAGCTCCGGAAAATGAAGCGGGACCTCAGACGGCTAGAGCGAGTATGGCGGGGTGCCCGTGACGGAGCCTCAAGAACATCTTATAGGGCTTTTATGAAAACCTACGAGATGGCGGTGAAGGCTGCTAAGAAGTCATACTTCTCGGCCTCCATTGCATCCGCTAGCTCTCGCCCAGCGCAATTATTTAGTATAATCAGGTCTTTAACGTCCCTTGAGGGACAGCCAAATTTAAATAATAATTTGACACACAACTGTGAGGCATTTGCGAGCTTTTTTGCGGAGAAGGTCTTGTTGCTCCGCCATGACCTCCCTGCCAATTTGGATACAATAAAGGAACTGGAGGCCCCTCGACTGTCCTCGGGTCCAGTATTGGACCACTTCGACCGGATATCCCCAGCCGATGTGGACAGACTCCTCCGAGCTGGAAAGCCCACCACCTATCCTCTCGACCCGTGCCCGTCTTGGCTGATTAGAGCGTGTCCAGACGAGGTGCGGGCCCTCCTGGGGGATATCATCAATTTGTCCCTTGGCACGGGGACATTCCCAGGGGAACTGAAGGAGGCAGTGGTGCGCCCGCTCTTAAAGAAAACATCATTAGATCCTTTAGATCTATCCAATTACCGCCCGGTTTCGAATCTTCCGTTCCTGGGTAAGGTGATTGAGAGAGCGGTTGCTGAACAGCTTGGTGGGTTTCTGGATGAAACATCGGCTCTGGATCCATTCCAGTCCGGCTTCCGCGCTGGTCATGGGACCGAGACGGCTCTGGTTGCCCTAACAGATGATCTTCGTAGACAGCTGGATCGAGGCGGGTCGGGGCTGCTGATTCTTCTAGATCTGTCAGCAGCTTTCGACATGGTCGATCACGAACTTCTGGACCACCGCCTTGCCGACGTGGGGATCCAGGGCACAGTCCTTCAATGGCTGCGCTCGTTTCTCTCTGGTCGGGGACAGAGGATGGCGCTTGGGGGGGGAATTGTCATCGCGCCACTCCTTGGTGTGTGGAGTACCTCAGGGTGCGATACTCTCCCCGATGCTTTTCAACATCTTTATGCGCCCCCTCGCCCAGCTTGTTCGGAGTTTTGGGCTGAGTTGCCATCAGTATGCCGATGACACCCAACTCTATCTGTTGATGGATGGCCATCCTGACTCGGCCCCAGACACACTGACCAGATGTTTGGAAGCTGTGGCTGGATGGTTACGTGGGAGCCGGTTGAAGCTAAATCCTTCGAAGACAGAGGTCCTGTGGCTGGGACGGGGCGATATGGGATTGGGGGGGCAACTCCCATCTCTTGCGGGGGCGCAATTAGTGCCAGCACCGTCCGTTAAGAGTTTGGGTGTAATCTTTGACACCTCCCTTTCCATGGAGGCGCAGACTGCAGCTATAACAAAGGCGGCATTTTTCCATCTCCGCCAAGCTAAGCAGTTGGCTCCTTACCTCTCTCGCCCTGACCTAGCCACTGTGATCCATGCGACGGTCACCTCCAGACTGGATTATTGTAACTCGCTCTACGTGGGGCTGCCCTTGAGACTGACCCAGAAACTCCAGCGGGTGCAGAATGCTGCAGCGAGACTCCTTACGAGGTCTTCGCTGCGAGATCACATTCACCCGGTGCTATACCAGCTGCACTGGCTCCCGGTGGAGTACAGGACCACGTTTAAGGTGCTGGTTTTAACCTTTAAAGCCCTATATGGCCTAGGACCCTCGTACCTACGGGACCGCCTCTCCTGGTATGCCCCACAGAGAAACTTACGGTCTTCAAATAAAAACATCTTGAAGGTCCCAGGCCACAGAGAAGTTAGGCTGGCCTCAACTAGAGGCAGGGCTTTTTCGGCTGTGGCTCCGATCTGGTGGAACACTCTGTCACAAGAGACCAGGGCCCTGCGGGACTTGACATCTTTCCGCAGGGCCTACAAGACAGAGCTGTTCCACCAGGCCTTTGGCCAGGGCACAGCCTGACTCCCTCCCTCGGCAATCTTCGCGGAGCTCTGGCCCAATGGTTGCCAGTGGCTTGAATTAATTAATTTTTATAATGAATGATTTTAGAATGTTGTTTATGCTGTACTTTTGTACTGTTTTATTGTTGTTAGCCACCCTGAGCCCGGCTTCGGCTGGGGAGGGCGGGATATAAATAAAATTTATTATTATTATTATTATTAATGCTATTTAAAATTTAAATGAGTCAGCAATCAGTGTCCTGGCCCTCAGACTCCCAGCTCTTGTTCTGCTAAATATTTTAATGCTCAGATCAGTTCAGTACATAAGGCGCACAAAATGGCATACATTCTTTAAAAATGAAAGTGACCTTCAACAAATGCCCTCCAGTTGCATGAGGCTGCTCATGAACCTGAAGTTTTGCTGTAACTCACGCGCTAACCATAGTTTACTGTGGTGTGAAGGCACTGTCAATATCTGAATTGACCCTGCTTGTAATATTTTTCAAATACTTTATTTCTTTCTTTTCTAAAAAGCAAGTTACTTTTAGGGAACATGATTGCATCCCATGATGATGAAACTCACTGTTTTTCTGTTCTGTTTGACTGAAGCAGTAATTTATCTGGTGGTGCATGGTTTCAAGGATTAATTATTAGAAGCTTCCAAACTGTACAGTCTTCTACTTTCTGTTAAGATATTTTGTATAGATAGATATCTTAAAGTATTGTGTCATGCTACCTAAACCTTTCTTACTACAAATATATAGGAAACCAGTGCTTCACTTGAAAAGTTCATGGTATGATTTCCTTTCCCCTCCTTTTGATTTCCTAGGATGATGAGATGGATGGTACTGAAGAAGTGAAAGAGGACAGGGTAAGTGAACAATCTAAAGCATATATGTGTATTTGTTCGTTCTTATGAATCTTTGGCCACAGGATAATTCTCAGTTCATTTGCATTTTGAGAATATGTACGTGAAAGTGCGCTTTGAAATGTTTTTCTGGAGTTTGTACCTGAATCTAGCAATAGGCCTAGTATTCTCTTCTTGTTGCATTATCATTACTTTAAAGTAATAAAATTCTGTAGCTCTTTTTCTTGTTCATTGGACTGTAGGATATTTTTCAGTGTGTTCAGTGTGTCAAAAGCAAGAGAAAAGGTACTTAGGTTTGTGCTAAAATTCGAGGTGCGCATTGACCACCAAGTTAGGTTTGAACCACAATTCAGTGCTTCAGAAATATACAAGACTTGATCTGAAATGCTTTGGAGACTGACTGGTTGTGTCATAATCCAAATTCCAGTTTGGAAAAAGTGAAGCTTTGTGCCTCCCCTACTTACTAATAAGGGAAATCCCAAGATGGCTGTAACTTTCCCCCCTTTGATAGAATTTAGGTGTCCTCAAATTATTGTACAAAATTCTGCCTGCCTCTTTTATAGTCTGTCAGTCTCATTATGCTTTCTTTCAGCAGCATTATAGGCAAGCATGCTCTTATCTGTAAAATCACTGGCAGAGGGCCATTCTCCACTTAAGCCAGGCCCATCCACATCAGTAGTGGAGATAACATTCCCTGAGCAACATGTGAGAAAGAAATGCAGACTTTCACTAGGCAAAAGAACAGATGACCTCATTCTTGATCCTACAGCTAAATTTTGCACAGCATTATTTAATGTTATGGTAGATGAAACAATTGCTCACCTAAGTAACAGGTTTAAGCAAATGTTGCAGTTGAAGGAAAAGTATGAATTGATAGTTGATGTTAAATATTTGGCTAAAATGGAAGATGATGACATTGGAAAGGACTGCAAGGATGTATTTTTGCTCCTTGAGAGAGAGAGAATGATTCAGTAGAGTTGCTGTCTCAGATCATGATTTTTTTGTGTGTGTGTTATATAATCAATCTCCAGAAAAATGCACAGGGACGCAGGTGGCGCTGTGGTCTAAACCACAGAGCCTAGGGCTTGCTGATCAGAAGGTCAGTGGTTCGAATCTCCGCGATGGGGTGAGCTCCCATTGCTCGGTCCCTGGTCCTGCCCACCTAGCAGTTCGAAAGCATGTCAAAGTGCAAGTAGATAGTTACCGCTCCGGCAGGAAGGTAAACGGCATTTCCGTGCACTGCTCTGGTTCGCCAGAAGCAGCTTAGTCATGATGGCCACATGACCCAGAAACTGTCTGCGGAAGAGACAAACGTGGGCTCCCTCGGCCAGTAAAGTGAGATGAGCGCCACAACCCCAAAGTCGTCCATGACTGGACCTAACGGTCAGGGGTACCTTTACCGTTTTAGAATAATGCAGAGCTTCATAAGTGTAATAGTCAAGGTATTTATATCAATTTATGTGTAGTACTTCACATTACTCTCACTTTAGTTGTACCTGTTGTGTTTAGTGAGAGGACAGTTTCAAAGTTGGAATTGATAAAAATTATCTGTGCTCTTTTGTGTCGCAAGATCACTTAGTCATGCTTATGGTTCTTGGCTTCATCTGCCCAGACTGCCATTAATCCATTTGGCTATAGTCACACATGGTTTTGTTCATGAACATCCATGATGGTGTTTCATCAGACCATCGTGACATCATTGACAAAAATCTCATAGGCTGCTGCAGCCAACCACATTAAATGGAAGGATGGGCACAATGAGGTTGTCAGAGCAAAGGACATGGAAGATGCTGCAGGGAATAGTATCAAAGCAGTGCAAATGTATTAGGAAGAAATGCAGGGGCACTTTTGGAAAGTTATCTGATGTCATGTTTTCATAAGCACTGCTGGCTCTGCCAAAAATGATTTTGATATGATTTAATGATTTAGGACATCACTGAATGACCAAATCGCATAGCAGAATTGCCACTAGAGGGAGCATGTTCTGCAGCTATCAAAGTATGAAGTGAGAAACTAATAACTTTATGTAAGAACTTCCAGTAAGAGGAATTGGGATTCTTAATAAATTTGGACTGAAAATTGCTTCTCTTAAAACAAATAATAGTGCAGCATTTCTTCCTTCAAATAAGCTTTTCAAAGATATTTGATGTTAGAAGTGAGATAAATAAACAACAGTTGGGTAGTCTTGTTGAAATCCTTTTTTTTTTTTTGGGTTCGGACTCATTTTGAATTTTTTCCTCTAACTGTAATAATTTGGCCAGATGTTGATCTTGTGTGAACCTCACATGGAATTATATGTACTGTTAGAAGCCTGCCAGATGGACAGAAAGCTAAGTACTAGCACATGCTCAGAAGCTGGCTTGACTTGAGGGTGGTTTGTCTGTGTGTAAAAAAATGCTACATTGAGGCTGTTATGAAAAGTAAATCTAACTTAATCTATTAAAGGTAAACACACTAAAAATGTAAATCTGTAACGGCTCGTTTCAAAAATGTGGAAAAGTTGCACATGTGACCTTCTGCTTGTGCAATGCTTGATCCAATCCAGTTTATAATTCTGTGGTTGCAACAGGTGACATAAAATTTGTAGAGCATCCATCTGCTAAAGCAGGGATGGGTTCATCCCCAAATGTTGTTGAACTCCAGCTCCCAGCATTCCTGACCATTAGCCATGCTAACATGGACTGATGGGAGTTGTGGGCAAGCAGTCTGTGGAGGGTTACATGTTTCCTGTACTTGCAGTAAAGAACATGCTAGGAATACAAACTGAAACTGGATGTGTTTGGAAATTATGTAGTTGGAATTCACCTGTCCTGTGGCGTGAGTTGCTGATCACCTGATTGGTTCAAATTCACAATCTTAAACTTGTTGGTGTTTTTCTAGTTCTTTTTGAGAATTCAGTGAAATATCTATGCTAATATTTCAGCTTTAAAGGTGAGTCGCAGACTTGTGCTGATCTCTTGTATATTTAACACTTGCTTTGTTACAAAAGTGCTACACCTTCTGTTCTCATCATACACTTAACAGTTTAGCGGAAAGTCCCCCCCCCCCCGCCCCATCACACTGCTACTCCTACAGACCTTCCATAAAATCTTCCATTCATTTCTCTGCTTTACTGTCATGGTGTTCTCCAAGAGCAAAGTCTTTTATGTGTGCCTGCAGTAGCTTTTTGTTTTCTGGGATCGGACTACCTAATATGGTGAGGTATGCCCCAGTCAGACACTGCTACAAGTTCCTTTGAAGCAATGGAGTTTGCTTGGTAGTAATGTTAGGTGAGCCTCTAGCAGACTAATATGGAAGAGCAACAAATAGTGAACAGTAACATGTTGTGCTTTTAACTATTTTTGTAAATAGAACAGTTGTGATGCACAATTCCTTTTTTGGGAATCCAGAGAGTACTGCCTAGAAGGGCATTTTTCATGTTATTTTATTTCCTAGCAGAGAGGCTGTATAGCACTTGGAAAGCTTTCATCCTGGCTTATGTGCAGTGTGGGAGAAAAGGCAATTTTTAGATTATGATAAGATATAATAATAATAATAATTTATTATTTATACCCCGCCCATCTGGCTGAGTTTCCCCAGCCACTCTGGGCGGCTCCCAATCAGTGTTAAAAACAGTACATTTAATTATGAAAAATGGTGGGGACATACCTTTGATTTACTAGCTTTCTAATAAAGATCCCTGTGCTCAGAAGTGGATTGTAGACCTGTTTCCCCTGCAGGAAACACAGTTGGCAGACTAGTAAGAAGTGAGGAAAAAATGACAGAAAATTCATTGAAGTTGCTGATCTATAGCAGTCCTAAACTGAAAGCTATTTATGTATTTAAGTGTAATTTAGGACTTGTGATCAACCAGAATATGAGGAGCACAGTAAATAGAATTCTGATACATGGGATCTTTTTTTTTCTTTACACTATTATTTCATATGTGTGTACCTGAGTACGTTCCCATATTTTGTTCAAGCTTATGCTCACTCATAGGTGTAGGAAGTAAGTTTTCCATGCTATTTTGCAATCATCCTGATGCTGAACTTAAAATTGCTGAACTTTAAAGCCAAAATAAAGCTAAGTGGCACCTGGCTAGTTCTGTTTAAAGGCACCTATCATTTCGGGGCAGAATGTTATTGTAAAAATTGCACACAAGCCTAAAAGTATGTCATATAAAGTAAGGTTGTGTTGGTCTTCATTGCTGCCTGTGAATAAATTATAACTTAAACTTAGAATTGCTGTTGCTGAACCCTTTCCTATCCAGCTCATTACAGTTGGATGGGAATTGAAGTCCAAATGATGGATGGGAAACAGAAAAAAGATAGTTCAGTTAATGTTTCCGAAAATAATTTGTGGAAGTTGGGCGAGCCTTCTCTACCTCAGACATTCAACCTGATGTACTGTGTCAGACTAATAGCCTCTGTAGCCCAGTCTATGTTCTTGGATGATGGCCAGTACCGGGCAAAGCATTTCAAAGTGTTCAGTAGCTGCAAGTCTACGGTGGAGTGGTTTGTCTGCTATAAACAAGGCTACTTAAGTCTGTCCCGAGTAGCTTTGTATGTCTTGGGGAAAATTAACTGCAAATGAGAGGGAAATCATTTATCCATTTATTTTAATTTTAAGGGAAATAATGAAATTAGGCTAAGCCTACTGATGAAATGTTTCTTTTCATATTTCTTTTTGAAAAGTAGAAATCATGAGACCATAATGTCTTTAGAAACTTCCTGTGAATGAAACCTATGCTTTCTAAATTACAGTATTTCAGAGTTGAATGTTGGCTTGCTTTGAATATAGTCATTCCTCTCTTTTGTGTGGACCAGGCATCCCCAACTTTTGGACCTCCAGATGTTTTGGACTACAATAACCACCATCCCTGACCACTGGTCCTGTTAGCTAGGGATCATGGGAGTTGTAGGCCAAAACATCTGGAGGATCACAGGTTGGGGATGCCTGGTGTAGACTATTGGGCAGCAGGGTGGGCCGCACCCCAACAACAGTCCCACTTTGTCCCTAGTGTC